ACACACACACACACATTGATAGTTTTATTTATCAGCCAGATCAGACAAGGTCCTGTATCACAAACTAACTGAAGAGTGAAAACTGATTTTGACTTTAAAAACAAAATTTTAGTCTTCTTCAACCAGGGGTAACTGAACTAGAAGTAATAGCTGTAGTATTTTGCCTGTTTTATAACAGAAGAGACACTGGTGGTGTTTCAGACCTATATTTGTTTTGTAAAAACGTAGGCTTTCGTCGAATTATTTTGAACTGATGAAGACCAAATTTGGGGCTACAATTGTTTTTATGAAACAGGTCTTCTGACTCACCTGACATACCTTATTTCCTTTCCATGTCACTTGACGCCCGCTCATTTCTGTCACATTCACCAACGAGGTAGATACATGTAAACACAATTATTGCGGTTAATACGCTAGATAAATTCCGCTAAAAACTGGGGATACGTGGAGGTACTAGTAGCAAAAGTAATTGAGAAATATACTTCCTAAACCACAAACATCTCAATCCTGCGATATGACACCGAAGTCATTATGAATATAAATACAGTGCATGGCGTAATATACTACGCCAGCGATACGTATTGTTAGCGTGGTGGCTGACATACGACTGACTTTTATCGTGTTAATATCTTAGTACACTGACCAAGGTTCGCTTGACCTACTTCAGTCCTGATCTTCAGCGCACCACATATCACCACTAGATGCACATTGTAGGCTGGGCTAGGTGAAAACAAGAGGCAGGCCAAGCCGGGGTCCGTCATTCACAGCTCGCTTAGTGTATGTGTAAGGTAGGTTGTTAAAGTCGTTAATCATTTCTTTAATTATATTAGTACGTTTGTCCTTTAGGGGCAGTGTGTCAATAAAGAACATGCACGTTGAGAAGAGCAGGGGAGAAAGAGATGGATAGGGGTAGTAAAGTGTCTTTGTCCCCCACTCCTTACCGACCTCCCGGCAAAACGTCACTTATAATCTGGTAAGGTAGCAGGCCCGTAGCCGGGGGGGGGGGGGGGGGGTTCGAAAAAAACCACCCCTTTTGCTGGGAAAAGGTCCACTCTGGGTAAAATTTGATCTAGGTACATGACGTTTTTAGGGAAAAATGTCCACTTTTTCAGAAAAAGAACCCCCCTTTTGAAATTGCAGACTGGTTCTGGTGCCATATTCCAGACAGTATGTCCCTCCCCTACCCATGATCTATAATGCGGTGTTACAAGATCGGTAATCCGCTTGCTATGACTTTAGGTGACTTGTACAGGTACATCTTATCAAGAATGTATTGTGTAAAACATCGTTTATCTTATGCCGTACATTACACTGAACTTCTATACACTGGCCCTCAATAAGCTTTATTTATATTAAATGTGGGATCCCGGACTAACATCCGCAGGACCTCTATTCCTGTCCCGTCGGTTTCCATTGATATGAATATACAGCTAGGGTAAGTCCTATATTTTGACTGTAGTTCTACATTGTAGTGGAGGGTGGTCTCTCTCTCTGATAAACGGGTCCTCTGTTTCCTTACAGCCTCATGTAACGTAACCTGGATGTTTCGTGCTCAGAATTTGTACCCAGACTGTTCTCCAAACTTGAATAATTCTATAACAATGTCGGGTACAGAGAAAGACACAATAGACATGTGCCCTCTCTCTCTCTCTCTCTCTCTCTCTCTCATTACTCCCTACCCTCTACCAGGGCCACCTTTGGGTTTTTACTAAGTGAATTTACAGGTTACATCTCATAACACACTTTCTGCTGGACAAAAATGTGCACATAATTTTTCTGTGGCCAGTAAAGTGGTCACACCCATACAAAAAAGGAGATGGAAGGATGGGAAACAAAACGGAGCATTTTCCCTCAGTCTCACATATTTTGGTAAATATGTTCTTGTGCACAGTTCAATTTTTGGAAATGATTATTTAATTTGATTTTTTTTTCATCGTGCGCCTCCTATCTCTCCTTAAGCAAAACCATGTCTTATCTAAAACAATCATTTGTTATTTTATTTCTCTCTGTAATTTTATTTCTCAATTGTGTATTAAATTGAAAACATGTTGCATTTTAAATCATTTTTTCTTTATTTTCAGATTCAAAACTTACATTGTTGTCGTAGTTGGACTGTAGCTGGCCTGAAGTCCAGACACCATGGAAGTCTGTTCTCTTACCGTCATTGCTGTAGTAGTGGTGCTGGGGTTTATACTGAACAGGTTTCTGCGTAGTCTACGTATCAATAGGTACTCATACGCCCTCAAGTACGTGCTCATAACAGGTGAGTGTTGCTGAATACATTCTGTAAGACTGCATTCCCATAGATTTAGATCGATCCATCTAAATCGACCTAGCTCCCTGGGGGTTCACGTTAAATTGATGTCAGCCGAGAGCGCACGGCACTTAATTAACCCCTTACAGCTTTTAGTAGGCGCGACAGACGCTTAAGCCGGCTAAGCTCACTAGACAGTAATCTAGTGAGACTCCCCACAGGGATACATCGATCTAAAATCTGTGGGAATGGGGTCTTAGAATGTTGTCTGTCTAAATGATGTTAATGTTTCTTTTCAATATTTCATGGAACAAAACGACAGTCTGGCAAACTTTTCAAACCACAGTATTTTCTATATGCAAGAACAATTGTACACTACTATAAGGCCGCATTCAGAGCAGTGGACTTACTAGTCCCAGGGCCAAATATGCCCGACCCACTTGAATACTTCCCCACGGCGAATCTATTCCGTGTCTGTTAGCAGATTAGACGGCAAGCTTTGTAGCGGGTCGCCATATTTGACCAGCAGACTGGTTAGTCCATTGTTCTGAATGCGGTCTAAGTGTTTAGAAGTCATAAAGGCGGCTTGTTGTTTACATACTTAAACACATATTATATGATAAAATGGTTGTGTGCGGGTCATGGATTTAAACGACATAGAAGATGCAGATAAAAAAGATTAGACAGGTTAGGTCATCGGCTGAACGTTCTTGAGCGAGGTCTCATGTTTGAGACGGTGCTGGCCCCTAGCGGTCAGCCACGGGCTCTGCTGTGTATACGTATTCTAACTTGGGGCAAAAATTCTAATATGGATATTCAATGTGCCTGATTATGAGAAATATCATAAATATATTGCTTAAATAATATTGATTTTAAAACACCCTGCACCCAATGAATCATTGAATAGTTTTTCCCATTGTATTCATTGGCCGCATTCAGAACAGTGGACTAACTAGTCCGCGGGTCAAATATGGCGACCCACTACAAAGCTTGCCGCCTAATCCGCTAAAAGACACTGAATAAATTCCCCGTGGGGAAATATTCAAGTGGGTCGGCCATATTTGACCCTCGGACTAGTTAGTCTACTGTTCTGAATGTGGCCATTATCTCTCATCCAATATACTATGTAGTGCGCTACTAAATGCCAGTGGACATCAGAATTTGCTTCCGTGGGGTAAAATTTGTGTAAACCTGAATTTGCAGTAAACACTTGGTCTGTTTCTCTGGACACGAGGTTACCTTACTTTTCCTTTCAGGCTGCGACACAGGGTTTGGAAACATAACGGCTAAGAAACTCTACCAGATGGGCTTCAACGTGTTTGCTGCCTGCCTGACTGAGGCTGGCAAAGAAGAGTTAGTCCAGTTTGCGAACAATGTACGTAGCTAACCTCTCTCTCTCTCTCTCTCTCTCTCTCTCTCTACACACACACACACACACACACACACACACACACACGGACACAGGCAAACATTTACCCTCACTAGCTCGATTATTATACGATTATTATAATAATATCATGTGTATTTTTAGGAAAATAAGTCGAACAAAATGATACCATTTTCAATGGACGTAACAAAAACGGAAAGTATCAAGGAAGGTTACAGCTTTGTCGAAGGGCAAATACCGCATGGGAAAGGTAAGGAGTTCTCTTAAAGGAATAAAATGCTTTATTTGACCTTTATGTAGAAAAATATTTATTTTACTGGATATAAAAACAATGTAATTCAACCATAACTGAAATGTGCCATACTCAAAACCTTTGGAAATTAAAGTAAATTAAGTAAGTTATATTTTAGGATTGTGGGGCCTAGTTAACAACGCAGGGATAGCAGGACCAGTAGGGGGGATCGAGTTTTTCACCAAAGCCCACTACCAACGGGTCCTCGACGTTAACGCCCTTGGGATGTTTGACGTGACGACCCACTTCCTTCCCTTGTTAAAGATAGGGAAGGGGAGAATTGTTAACACCGCAAGCATCATGGGAAGGCTTGGTTTCGCCGGTATCGCACCATATTGTGTGTCCAAATATGCGGTAGAGGCGTTTTCAGATTCTGCTAGGTACGTAATGTCGGTTTGAAGTGTTAAGTTATGGCGCAGTTATATATGCTGCCATCTAGCGCACTGTGTCGTTATAATAATAATAATAATAATGATAATAATAATAATTATAATAATAATATTTATTCCTTAATAATTAATTCCTAATAATAATTAATTCCTAATAATAATATTTATACCACACTACACTACCGTCTCAGTGCTGTTTGTTATGATAATTTGAATTATTAATAACGTTAAGTCATTTCAATCTTACCTCCAACATATCCTTATTGGGTTGTTTTAATATATTGTATCTATTTTACAACATAGTCGTCAAATATCCATAATTCGTCCAGATTGTTTTTATCTCTTGCAGCGGTTCTTTTCATAGACATCATTTTATCAATACCGTGCCCAGATGAGCCAATTTTACTTTATAATGAACATTACAAATCTTAACACGTGTTATTTTTTATATGGTGACTGGATTGTTTTGAATACCGTGTATCCTCTACTCTGCGCAGGCGTCAACTCAAACTGTGGGGTGTCAGTGTTCACATTGTGGAACCCGGGTTCTTCAGGACCAACATCACCGACCTCAGCTTACTGGAGGAGAACTATAGGAAGACGTTTTACGGGGCTGACCCGAAGGTCATTGAAGAATACGGACAGGAATTTTTTAAAGAAAGTAAGTCGTTTAATTGATTGTCAGATTTAAAGAATAGTAAAGAGAAAATGAAAAGCATAAAGTAAACTGACCAAAGATGATAAGATATACATGTACTAGCACGACGCTATATAGTTCATTTGAACAGATTGCAACAGCCACATCGAATATTTGATTATTTTACAACAAGCTCGACAAATTAGATTGTCTTATAATTATCATAAAAAGGAAGAATGATGTACATGTACCTGAAACCCTTTTATTAAGAGAGTCGATATCCTCTGTTAGATTATTCTCCCAAGTTTGCCCAGAGTCGCAAAACATAGTGTATTATTTGGCCAAGTGAAAAGCGTCAGGTTTTAGTTATATAAAACATACTAAACTTATTCACAAACCACTTACCCTGATGCATAGACAACTTTAAAACCTAGTCCTTAACCTAAACAAAAGTTTTCAATAACCTAGCAGACAGTCGTTGACAATGGCAACCAGCATTCCATGGCAATATAACGCCTATTGTAAAGATGTATGTATAAAAATCGTGTGTGAAATCAATTATACGCACAACTCTGAACGTATGAAATCACCCTGTTGCCAGCATAATAAAATGAAGATATAAGCAGGATATACGTGTACAATTGTTTTGAACAAGCCCAAAATAGTTTGTCTTCCTCCGTGTGTGCGAACGTACACCGACGTTTGGCTGCGTTCTCGTGACGTGCACGACGTAGGTCTAACGAAACCATTTATTTGACTGCGTATGGGTGATTCTTCTCACACGTATACGTGCTGTAGGTTAGATTGACAGTTCCTTTACTTTGCATTCACCCCTGTGTGCATCGTCGATTCAACTCTGTGATTACCCTTATGTTTCAGCAATGGAGGTTCAACTAAAGAAATCCGTTGTGATTGCCAACAAAAACATCCATCTAGTCCGGGACGCCTACATTCATGCGTTAACTGCCGTGTACCCTTACGTCAGGTATTATGTCGGACCGGACGCCCATTTGTTCTATATCCCTCTGGCCTTTTTACCCGGCGCCATCCAGGACAAGATATTTGCCGTTTTGTCCAAGCCTCCGTTGCCAGCGGCTTTGAAGAAAAAGAAGTAAAAAAAAGAAAAGACAATGGTATAATATGATTTGAATAAAGACGCGGAATGTGAAACCAAGCGCTTGAGATTTGCATTTATTTTGTTGATTTTCGATTTGAATCCGATAGAGACAGAAAAGGAAAGGAAGGGAACAGGAGAAATGAGAAAATGAGAAAGATAATTTCATAAAAAATATTCAAATGATCAAAAGCCAATTAATGGTTGGACGTATTATGACAATTTAACACAGTATTATGACAAGTAGTATTTGAAGGAAGCGTCAGACTGGCCCCACCCTCCGTTGGGGATTAATCCCGGCCAGTATAAGTCGGATGATGATGATTATGATGATTACGTTGTTTTTGGTTTAGAAAGAAATACTTGTAATAAATAGAAACGTAGCCTTAAAAGTCCATTTTCTTAATTATATCGCAGATTTAAGTTTGGAACTTGAATGTAGCGTCACGAGGAAGTCTAGAGCAAGGTATTTTTTGTAATGTCTTTCGGGCGTGTATTTTGTGGAAAGCGCCAGTTTGCAGTTCGTTTTCAGAGAGTGAAAAATTGTACAAGTCACTGTCTAGAAAGATAGAGTATTCATAATTCTTGTAGTATTCACGGCATTTATATTGCTCAAATAATTAAAGGCTCTTATATTTTTGTTATACAGTCCACGCCATGTTATAAATTTTCTTATTTTGTAAAATTGAATAAAGTTTAAAATGTTATATTATATAACGTTTTCAATTCCCCTTGCATGTACTTTATATGTTAGAGGACATGCCATACCCCTACATACCTACACAATGGTGTACATATTAAGTAAAAAGAAAAAAGTTTATCCATGACAGAACTGTAAATACCTTGAAGAATCTGAAAATGCCTGTACTTACATTTGTACACATTTTTGTACAAATGTACACATTTAGCAAAACTGTAAGTGCAGTACACGGGATCATCTTGAGTGTATCTTCTACTGTAAGTTTATCGCCTATTACTGTAAACTGCAGCGGGAATTTCCACCAGTGAAGTTCTCCGGTCTTAAACCGTTCGCCCAGATGGCATTTTTCTCTAAGGGACCGTTCTCACAAAAGTGCAGAGATGAAATAAAAAAAAAACACCGCGATTGGCACTATTATTCATATCTAAAATACTGGTTTGTAAATTTCAATTAAACATTTTCAATTAAAATTCCACATTTTACCATAATTCTTTATATTTTATAATGAATTAAATATTGGTAACTTGGCCTAAATGGTAGACACTTACCAGGGTCATCTCAGATGTCGTCAGCGTCTAAAAAAATGGAAAAGTCGCGACAGATTAGCCGACTTATATACAAGTCTGGAACACATGCACGTCACTAAGCTGAGAATGTGTATATTGATAAGCAAGGGGCAAATAAAATTATACTTATCGACGCGGGCTGCAGCTCTGACCTTTATATTAACACCAAATAGGCTTCATTTCATTAGCATTAATAGCATGATAGTTTCCAACGTTTTTAATGTTTCATTGCTACTGAAATTTTTATTTACTTGCACTGTAAATGCATTTGGGTTAAAGATTGAAAATATAAACTCACATTCAAAATAGTGTCGCGGTTTAATTGCCTACAGCCAAACATACGATCACATGTAAAGCAATGACTGGCATTACTTCCTCATAATGGAAGGCGACTTCATTGGTGAAAAAAGGACCCCGACGTCGCGATAGTTATCACGTTATAGGACATTTGTATCCAAACATATAATATTGATAAATATAAACCTTTTTTGCATTTTAGGGATAGTAATAATTATGATTATGAAAATAAGTCTTTTCAGAGTCAGACGCGACTTTATCAAGGCGATTGCTTCTTTTTAAAATTAAATTTGTTTATCTACTTATAAGCCAATAACCTACCGATACCCTGCCGTGTATGCCCCCCCCCCCTTCCTTCGGACACCTCTTGACCCCCCCCCCCTCCTCCTTTCTGAAATCCTGGATCCGCGCCTGCATATGGCCGAGTATTTTAAAATTGCTCAAGATATACACCCGGTAGTACTTATGTTTAATCAGAAATCCTTTCGGTCATACATGTTTGTAAATATAATTAAAATGTACAGTTTACCTAATTAGATAAAACTTACAGTATAAAAGCATGATATTCAAAAACCTTACATTTCAAAACGTAGGACCTGCAATAGGGACTTTCTCACCATTATCCCAGGCAATATCTTATTTGGTGATGAAGTGGCATTTTATCCTATGAAGTAGATTTGTCAGTAAAATCAGAACATTTATCCCGTGAAGTGGCGATATACCATTAAATATCTGAACACACATTTAGTCTTAAAAAAGGTGTCCACGTAAAACAATTGATTTGCTATTGCTGAATCACATGTCTGGAATAAGTGGGTGAATCAATACAATTGATTGCGACGAGGCATTATCTCTAATCTTCTCTTTGGAAAATCACAGCCGGTTTTCCATCAGTGACAGAATACATGAAGAATATGGAATATTAATCGATCGGACAGCTGATGCATCATAACAGACTAAACTTCCACTTTACATTCACTCTCATTCAGAAATGGAAACGTCTACACTTACAGTAAATGCATTACTGTTAATATTTTAATGGACGCGTCCTGGCATTTATTGATTTTAAGTTAACGCGTGCATCATCACGAGCTCTTACAGACAAATGCATTGTCAGAAAATAAATAAAATTATTTGTGGCCTATTCTAATTTACAGCGAACATATCAATGGATGCAGATGGATACAGATGAACATAAGATCAAAGGCAACATTATGTCACAATTTTCTAGAAACTAGCTGAGATACGAAATGCAACACTCGGGACTGACAACGTTATTTCGGCTTTAAATACAAGACGCATTCCAGATCAGTCACACTGACGACTTTTAAGGTGGACAAAGATCACCAAAAAACAAATCGTGAGAGCTAAGCTGCCTGAGTTGACATTCTAGTCGCTCAGCTCGAGCCGAAACGTGTGCAGCGGGTGGGATTACGGTTTTCCATCATCTTTTGCATTTAGATTTATCCGCTGATAAGTGAGACGAATGGTTTTGATTGAGTGAATGCCACTGATCAGGGCAAATTAGATATAAGTTCATCTATCTTTGTGATTTTATTGCACATTCAGAGAACTGTGACAGTCAATAGGCCGATCTTCCTGTCAGAATGAACATTTCTGCTTGGGGTTTGTTGTTGTTTTTATCTGGATGTTTCATGCGCACAGGTAAGAATTTAAAAATTCTGTCGATTAATTTATTGTCTTATCATGTGATAAACACATTGACGTATGATAAATAATCATAGTTATTATAAAACAGAAAGTAATTTGCGACTCAAATAATATATCGTAATTTAAAGGTCTACATTTAAAACGAAATTGTTTTAAATTCCATTTTTAGAATCTAAAATTGACATCAAAGATTCTAAGTTGCAAAATGGTAAGGAAGCACTCCATTTGAAAAGCGCTTATGATTACGAATAATTACTTATAATTAGGTCACTACAGGAATCGGTAAACAACGTACAGTTTAATGGTTTGGTAAGATTAAGATGAGAATATTGCGTTTAGAGGTCAAAAAAATAAAACAGAATTCAGTTTTTAAATTCGATTCTCTTTAGACTGTCTTTTCCTCTTTTGAAATAAACGAGTAATAATAATGAAAATATTATTATTATTATTATTATTATTATTATTATTATACTCGCCCATTAGAAATACACTACGACTGTTATCATATCAACATACAGAAATCTAATGCATTTTATTTTCTGTGGTTTTAGAAAGTTTGAACACCACGTCGGACAGACTGTACAAAGACCTCCTATCTCCAGACTACAATAAATACATACAGCCTCTGTATAATGAGACTGCCGAGACAGACGTGGGCGTGTCCATCGATCTGAGCCAGATCAAGGAAGTGGTTGGTATCAATCATTCAGTAGACCAATCGATACAAGACTAATTAACTTGATTAAATAATTCTATGTTCAGCAAAGGAATAGTTTAAATAGACGCTGATTGTAACAGTTGAAAATTGTTCGCATAGTTGCAAGCAGCAATTTGTTTAAAAATGTAAATTAGCCATATGATGTAGATATATTTTTCTTGTGCATTTCTTTCTTTTCTTTTCTCATTTTCACATGTAATTGAAAACCCAAGAGTGAACAGAAACAAAGTATCACCACTTCAGTCTGGATCTCAGCCGTGAGTTATCTAAAACAAACCAAATCATTAGCGTGATATAATTATTACCTCCATCTAAGAGGCACTGGTTAAGTCTTGGTTGTTTTGTAAGACAACAACAGTCTAACTAAAAAAAATATTAACAACTTTCCTTCTTCTCCTAACTGCCTTCACTTATTTAGAAGAGATTATATAATTATCTTATTTCCATTTAATTGTTCTTTTGGTTCTACTTCTTATTACTTTTGTTATTCTAACTCACTTCATTTTTACCTCATTGTCATTTGGATTTCATAATTTATTCATCTTTTTTCATTAACACAATATTTCATTTTAACCCACTATTATTATTATTATTATTATTATTATTATTATTATTATTGGATGAATCAATTGATTATGTTAGCTATTAAGGTCTGGAGCGACTACCGCCTACAGTGGGACCCTCTGTTATATGATAACGTAACCAAAGTCTTCCTGCCTCAGGCCATGCTGTGGAAACCGGATATGTACCTGGAAAACAGGTAGGCAATTATAAAGAAAAATAAATTAAATATAAGACAAATATAAAAACATGGATAACAATGTTATAGTAACCAACGTAATAATAAATCTGACGTCATTAAAAGCTTGGATCAGACCCATCTAATACTGCCAGCGTTGGATACCTGTATATTGATTTCAGATAAAATGTTATTTATTTTATATTTATTTATTTTGGCAAAAGTCCCAAGAGAACTCATATTTAACCATTACGCTTCCCGACTGCGCAGTCAGCCCGTTGCCGACTACGTGCAGGCGCTTGCGCACATTCATCCCACCCACCCGAAGTAGGCCTACTGGTACATGTAGCATTTCTTTCATTTATTCCTGTTAACTGTTTTGTACATGTATGAGCAGTGTGACTTAACAAACTAAGGATTCAAACCTAATACATGTAGAACCTGAGCGGAACATGGACTTGGTTTCCTAAACATTGGAAGAAGATCAACGACATTTAGGGCTGTTTGGCTGCGCCGCTTGTGAAAAAAAAGATTGTCCTTTATCCCCTCCCCCCCCCCCTATCCTAGACCCATCATTAGACATGTACGTGGCTTATCACTTTAACCGAACGTGTTGGAAAAGGGAATTATGAAGTAGCGTTTCTTTTCAGTTTTGACGGTAGTGGGTGGATATTTGATTACAAGGACATGGCGAACTCTTTCGCAGCCTTAGAACACAGCGGAGCAGTCATTGCTATACAGTTTCAGCACGTGACCACCTTCTGCGACCTCAACGTTCAAAGGTTGGTCAGGTGTAGGCCTATGCAGTTTAAGGAAAAGATGTTATTGCTAAAACGATTATATCATTAACTAAATTACATGAAGTCCTAAAGTAAATTGTATTCAAAAGAGGAGAAAGAAAGAAATGATTTTTATATCTGCAATAACTCGAGAAAAATATTTCTAGCTATCTGATTATCTCGCATATTTTATTTTGTGACTGTCCCTCTCAGAAAAAATTGTCGTCGATTAAGTGGCGTGCCTTTTATGATGACAATACCAATTAGAATCCGTACGTCATAAAAGGAGTCCACTGCATCAAAATATACCTTTATTTCAGGTACCCTTTCGATAATCACACGTGTTGCATGGAGATCTCATCCTACATATTAGAAAAGATAAACCTGAGTCCCGGTCACTTTGGGTTCACAGAGTTTTTTACCAGTGTCGAGTGGGAAGTAAGTTTTTGCAAAGTTCTCGAACTTTCGCAAAGAATTTTGGTCTGATATGTCAGTTTTTAATACAACTAACATACATTTGGTTTATAATCAAGATAAAAAGGTTGCTTCCTTTTTCCCCCGAAATTATGACTTGTTTGTGATAGGCTAAAGGAAAAAAAATAGAAGAAAAAGGTTAAACAGGAGTGTTAAGCTGCTATAGGATGTGATAACTGAAAGTGGGAGAGCGTTGATTCGGCTTTGATCTGAAGGAGTTGATGTCGCAATTCTGATTTTTCACACGTTAAAAGTACATAAATGCATGGTATAACATTTTCAAAAACTCGGTGGTTTCATTTCAAAAATATTGAACCTCTCAACTTCGGAGAAAAAAGTTTAACACCATTTAGTTTGTTTCAAAATCGATCGAGCAACGCTCATGAGCATGTTAACAATTTCTGTGTCGAGAGACCGCCTTAGTGTGTCACTTCATGATCCGCCAGCAGAAAAAAAAAAAAATTGTTTTTCCTATTTACAGATAAGTCACACCTGGTCGTACACGAAATGGCACAATGTGGCTTCAACGTCACAGTCATCGTACAACGCGTCACTTATGGGGATTGGGTGGAAGAAATTGGTGTTTTGCATCAACATACGCCGCACCATGTCGTTTTTCACGTTGTGTATGCTGTTTCCGTGTATGGTGTTATGTATGCTGTCCTTGCTGGTCTTTCTGATGCCGCCGAATTCTGGAGAAAAGTTGTCAGTTGGTGAGTTGTCAAATAAGGAGGGAAGGGAAGGGGGTAGGGGTTGTTGCTTTTGGAACTTTTTTAAGGCTGCATTCAGAACCAGTTGATCCGCGGACCAACTAGTTCACAGATCAAATATGGCGTCACCCACTTGAAAGAGTGCCGAAAATTAATTGCTCTGCCCCTGCTGGGACGGCGCGCGTGGGAGGCGGGGAATCCATCGTCAATTACGCGCCATATTTGATACGTGGACTAGTTAGTCTGCGGATCAACTGGTTGTGAACGAGGCCTAATGGGGGCCACTGTAAAAATTCGTACGGAACATGGTCCTGTGTGTGGGTGTTAATTGATGAATAGTATAAGCTCCTCAAACAGGCGCCTTCAACCTGTAGATTTCATGGGTCGTTGTCTATTAACTGTTTGAATAAATTTGGTCCCGAGTGCGAGCTTATTATTCTGGGTCATATTTCCCTGATGTTTCCAGCGTACACGTGTTGGACAGCCATGGTGGTTTTCCTTCTTGTTTTGGTTGATGTCGTCCCTGGCAAAGGTCAACACATGCCCGTACTGGGTAAGTTCATGCATCATAAAAAACTAGAAAATCAATAAATTACTACTACCGGTACTACTCCTACTACATGTACTACTGCTGCTTACACTAATGGCGATGATGATGATAATGATAATAGTCGCTAAAGATTAACAACAATAACAGTATTTATAATCATTACTAATATATTGTTAATGAAAGACCTAATATAAGTAATACTTTTATCAAAATATCGGTCCAATAATGGAAATGAAAATTAACTATAATCCAATATAATGCTTTTCGTGCCGGGCTTGCTGAAAACATACGATTTACAGAATTATTCTTAAGTTCGTTTTGTTTGACGTGCAATGTTTTATAGTAATTGTTGTGTACATGAAGGTACATCAATATATCATATACCAATACTTACCAACGAGCATTGAAAAGTGGTAATCTCAGCCGCTTATATTTCACATCCTAGGAATATTCTTCCTGTTCACATTGTGTTTGGTGAGCGCGTCCATACTTATCACCGTCTGGACACAAAACATTTATCACAATTACAACATCAACAGACGGCCGCCTGGATGCGTTCTCAAGGTAAACATTTATATCCAAGGTGCAAGTAATATCAAATCATTTTCTTAGTTAAGACACTAGGAAAACTACATGGATAACCATGCAGTAATACTTGTAAAATATGTATAATCTATATAATATTTATCAAAATAGGCCAATCAGTGTGTTAGTATTAACTTTTAAGGTTATTGAACTCAATATGATAATATCTAATTATTACAAGTCTTGTGAGATTGGGTAGGAAGATGGGATTTTTTTTTTAGAAGACGCTACTGAAACATGTAACTTAGACCAAATTCTTTACACAAAAGTATATAGATTTGTTCTTGGATATTTATCGAACTGTCAGTTTGCTACACCCGGATTAATTAATTGTCACACTAATAATGCGTTTTTCAGTTCTGTCGCATCGCTTCCAAAATAACCACGCTGAATTCGAAACAAACCGGGAGCAACCCAAGAGCTGTGCAACCGGATGCGGAAGTAAACCAGACAAGAAACCAAGATTCGGAGAGTTTCACGGAACGCTCTGCCCCGTCCTTTCCGCGGAGTGTGGAAACAGTTGAACAATCAGAGATTGCGACAGACTGGGAATTCGTCAGTAAAGTTATGGACCGATTGTCCTTTTACATCTTCGCCATTGGTTTACTCCTGGCTGTTGGCTATGTTTTATTCCCAGAGGCTTGAGACATTCCGGACAAGGTGACATTTTGGCGTTACCGGAGAAAAAAGGGGGTAGGGGTTGCACTGGGGACACATGGTCCCTCGGATCACCCTAAATAATATTTTCGCTTTTTTACCCCTCTCACCAGTCCCCCCCCCCACACACACACACTCCATATTTGGCAACATTAACGCCTTTATGCGTGTATGTGAAATTGAATGATTTTGATACTGGATAATTTTTTGTCAAGGTAATATTTTTATTAAAATACATTCAGGTGCAATGCTAGATGGTGCCAGAAATGCTGATGATGACGATGTTTAAACGATTTATTGGTTTAGTGTTTATCATTATAGTTGTGGTCAGTGAAATTGTTTTATTATACCAGATAACGTAAATGTTTTTTATCATTTGACAGGTCATATTAATTTTGTTTTCGACGGGATTAGAAGTTAGGCAGAGCTAGTAAATAATGAATACTGTTGTATTGCAAATTAAAAAATTAAATTTGCACCCACATGAATGAGGTTATTGTTGTTTGGCAGTACAAAGCATATTGCTCAAGCACTGTGTAGATTTTAAGNTATTGCAAATTAAAAAATTAAATTTGCACCCACATGAATAAGGCTTCGTTCACATGCAATGTCTATTTTCTATTTTCTATTTTCTATTTTCGGTATGTCTTATGATCACGGTCTGTGCACTGAATATCCCGCCGCGTAATTACTGGCAGCGCGAGCCAGTTACTTATAGTAACTTATAGTAACTGGCTCGCGCTGCCAGTAATTACGCCGCGGGATATTTAGTGCACAGACCGTGATCATAAGACATACCGAAAATAGAAAATAGAAAATAGACATTGCATGTGAACGAAGCCTAAGGTTATGGTTGTTTGGCAGTACAAAGCATATTGCTCAAGCGCTGTGTAGATTTTAAGCTGGATAAAAGCCGGACGGGGCTCTCACACATGTACGTACATTGTAGGAGAGAAACAATAGGGACATCTTCCCAGGCGGAAAAGTTAAAGAAAAATATTATCTTTATTTTCTACGAGTATGACTCAACACATTAACCCTTATTAAATTGTCATTATACTTATTACAAGTTATCGTTAATTAAATTTTGTCTAAGCCCGTATACATAGGACAACTAGGGAAGGATGTTGTGTAATCATAATAATTTATGAAACATCTCAGAATTAAAAACTCATCCAGTTAATAGTCAATCCGCTTAAATGGAATGTTGTGCCTGTTAAAAAAGGACCAGTATTTAAACCAAACGTTACAATGTAATTCAAGCTTTCTCCTACAACACCAACGACGAAATTGAAATTGACCAAAAGATTGTGGTCAATGGATTCAGATCAAGCTGCTCAGGAGTGGGTATAGATGTATGTATTTGTATTTTACAATGAAAAGCACGTCATATTTTCATATTTATATATTTGTATGAGTGACAATGCGTAAATAAAAAAATTCTGAAATAAAAATACATGTCTTGGAAAGGAGAAACAATACTAAAATGTGTCCATATTAACAGCTGTTATATCTAATATATAATATCGTAATGCGTTACTGATGTCGCTGGCCCGGTGCCATGCATGAGAAAGAGTTCCCTGCAGTGCAGTGTCTGGTCCCCATTGATTTGTACAGGTAAGCCCGTCCTAAATTTTGACCCATTTACAGTACGTCACATTAAACCTAGTCTGTATGAATCCAATGGAGGTCGGACTCTCTATTACACGGACCCGCAGTTCCTTTACACCGGTGTTCATCAACACATTGCAGTCTGAGGATCAAAATCTCAGAACGCTTGTTAGTAGTGGAAGTACCTTTACGAAGAACTATTTCATCTTCTTTCAAAAATTCAGACAAATATGGATACCATTACACATTTTAATGACGTAATTTTAATGACGAAATGCAAGGTGTTCGTTTTCCTTCCAATATTATGGTGTTTTCAGCCCTGCTTGTCTTATTTGAATCTATCCGGGATAAAATTTCGTATGACTCCTGCTCCCTGGGCTAGTATGGTCATCCAGGCGTCCTCTAGGGGGACAGTTAAGACATACGGGGCGGCAGTCCAGAGAGTGGTCACTGCGTCCGATGAGATGATGTACAGTTGACCAGATATGTAGTTGGGCCAGTACGGGTACGGGTACAGGTTCTCAAAGACTGCTTCCTCGTCGGCAGAGTTTCGCTTCACTTCGTGGTGGTAGTTCATTTTTCCGGCAAACGTCATCGACGGCGGCAGGTCTTCCAGGGCGTAGAGGAGTTTTTGAGGGTTGTAGTACGTTCCGTCGTTTACCTTGACCAGAAAGCGGGCGTTACTGCAGTGTTCTGAGAACCACCGTAGCATCATGGCCGTTTTGCTCGGAGAGGTGTTGTTTTGCTCAAGAAAATCATAAGCGATTATATCGTCGTGAACTTTACCTTCTTCAGTCGTTAAATTCCAAGCGGTGCTATTCTCAGAACGCCCGATGATAAAGTACAGCTTAATATCTGGACGCGAGTCCAAAAACGCCTTGTTGGATTCCCTCCAATGTGCTCTGGTTTCCCATGATTCACTGCGCGTGTGGACTATAATAATGGCGGCCATGGCTCTCTCACACGGCTCACTAGGGGAGAGCAGCGGTTTGAAGTCAAACATGTTCACGGGGACAGTGCTGGGTATATAATAATCTTCTGGGGGGACACAAGTAATTGGCCGACAATTTCTCAGGTCGGCCATCGCGTAGTCTTCGTCTTGATACGATTTCAACCGCATGGCAAAATTCCTGATGCAGAAATTACATTTCGGTAGCTCCTCAATATTCTTGCGATTAACTTTGTCCATCATCGTGCTATTGAATACTGTCTGATAAATCATCCAAACTGCAGCGACGAAAGTTGCAGCAATTATCGTTAACTTACAGTTTTTCCTTCTCGCATGACGGGCTCTTCTCGTGCTGTGTTTAACCCGGTGCATGACCATAGTGCTTATCCCTGATAACGAATCCAAAATGGAGGCATCGAGACTTATCAATTAGTAAGGACTCGGCTTGCAACGTCACTGCTTTAGAACCACGTTTTACATATTTTATGGTTTTCTTGGTTAACATGACGATACAGGCGGTATGCTATGAAGAAGCTGTCAGAGAGAGAGAGAGAGAGAGATGTATGAACCTCCATATAATTACTATATAAACCATCACTTAAAGTCGAAGATATAATAACCTGAACGTTTATCAAACGTCCTGGACCAGAAGAAAACAGAAAATAAAATTAAGCTGTTGTTGAGTGAAAGATATTTATCAAAACTAGAACAAAACTCGTGTTATAATTTCTTATTTGTTTGTTTGTTTTTGAGCATCCAATTCTGCCAGATAAATGTTTATTATTACTTTGATATTGAACACGTAGCTCGCCTAACATCCAATACGTTTGAAATGACCAAGACATTAAGTAGTGTCATTAAAGGTTGAACGCGCTGGCCAACGAGGCATTTAACAGGTACCATCCGTTTCAAGTGCGTATAAATATTTCGTATTAACGCGCGAAAGCGATTCTCAGAATAAATCACGCTATCAATTATTTACAGCAGTAACTGATCATTTGGCACAAAAAGATAATTATTACAAAAGCGTTTTAATTATTTATCGCCATGTGTTCACTTAAAATTATACCCGTTTTCGTCTTATGTTTATTTCAAGTTACCATGATAAGTTGAATTTAAACACGACAGAGCAATCGAGTTTACACAAAGTGGCTCTCTGTCTCGCGCATCAAGATTGAATTTTTTATTTGTTTAAAACGAGTTGCTTGTTCATGTTAGACTGATGTCTGTGCAATCGCAATGCAGTGTGATATCCGAACTGCGGAAAGTGTAATGATTATTTGCTATAATATTGTATAATGCATATTTGTAATTCATTCTGCTCATTATTAAAGTTGTGGGCCTATTTGTATTGCTTAAACTCCAAAACATTCACGTTATATTCGTTTACAAGCAAGAAGCAAACATTCTTATGTACAATAATATATTTATTTTTCTTTTTCATTTCACTAAGTTGTTATTTTCAACTAAAACTGTTAGTGCCTTTAAAGGACGAAACTACATGTATTTCTTGCATCTATTACAGCGTGCAATATGTATTAAAAACTAAAGAATGTGTTCTGTATAGGCCATATATTGTCCCAGTAACAAAGCTTTAATTTCATAATGTAATTCAGCACATTATCAGTGTTTGAACAAACGATGTTTAGTCATATTGCCCATTACTGCGTTAAATCTTTATTATCGAATCACAACAAGTGGAAATTAAAAAAGGAATACTTGTCTTAAATAATGCATGTGTAAATTAAAAATCATTCAGTACTTTTATATTAATGTGTTATGTAAAGACATTCATTTCAACTTGAATGTTCAAAAGACTTAAAAATTTTATTAACCTAATAAGACGATAAGTGATAAATTTTCATCAACAGCACCATACCATCCACTGTGATTTCACAAACGTAACCATTCCTGGCATTTTTGTTGTACATGTAATGCGCCCATGGGAAACAAACATGCTAAAATATACCATGTGGAATGAATGGTGTCATATATACTTCCTTTGACAGTTCATCCACAATTTCGCTATGTCTTTCCTGGATGTTCCTGGTTTATCTGACCGCACGAGATAGCCGACAAATTTGTCTGCTGCCTGGCAAATTTCATCCCTGTTTTCATCTGACCACTTCTCATGTTCACCGTACATGTCAGGTAAGAAGTAACGCTCTACCCCGACAGATAGTGCTAACAGTGTCAACCACGCGTCCTCTATGGTGACACGTGGGACGTACGATACAGCATGCCATAACTTACTGACGGCGTCCGCAGAAACAATGTACATCCCGCCAGCGACATAGTTCGGCCAGTAAGGATAAGGATATTCTTCCTCTGAGACGTAAAATTTGTTTTTGGGGTTTCTCTGTACGCGTGCGTGGAATATCATTTTTCCTGCCAAAACCATATGATCGGGTATCTCTTCGAGGGTTTCTAGAAGTTTTCGCGGGTTGAAATACATGTCGTCGTCCATTTTGATAAGATATTTTGCATCGCGACAAAACTGGCTAAACCAATGCAGCATTAGGGCTGTCTTTGTTGGCAAGTTCTCATAGCTGTCAGTAAACTCGTAGGAAATGACGTCATTGTTTACGTCGCTGTCTTCCGTTATACGTCCCCATTGCACTTTATTAGAAGTATACCCTATGACGAAGAATATGCGGAAATCCGGGTGTGACATCAGAAAGCGTTTGGTGACCTGTCTCCAAACGTTTCTGACGTCAGTGGACGCGACTTGCGTGTACACTACTATAACTCCAGTTAGATTACCCGCGCATGCGTCCTTGGTTGGTCTTAACATTAATTTATTCAAATTGTTCAACGGCAGAGGACGCTTCTTGAAGAAATCATCCGGAGGTATGCACAAAACAGGGATGCATTTATTCTTTTTAGCTTTCTCCATATCTTGCTCTGATAAATTGCCAGCTTTGGCAAAATTTCTGACGCAGAAATCGCATTTTGGCCAAACGTAGCTCTCATTGGTTGGGGCGACTGCGGTCATGTTAACAGTCTCGTTTTGTTTTTTCTCACTAGAAGGAGTCAGCATATCAAATGCTAGCCATATTTCTTTAGGGCGAGTTCCTTTAACTGCGGTTTTTGTGTCTAGATGTTGATCGCCGTGTCGACCTAGTAGAATTAACAGTAGTAAAACCAATGCAAGTGAAACTCCTAATATCGCTTGGAATCGTCTACGTCTACAAGCCAACTCCCCTGAAACAAAAAGAAGAAAAATGAGCATGTGATAGAATAAGAAAATATTGCCTATAAATATTGCATATTGCCTATAATATAGCGTTTAGCACTGTGTGTCTTAGAGATTAGAACTTAGTGTACTTAGAAGTCTCATAAAACATATTTTCAAAATGATGAGACCGACGATGGATATTCGTATCAAGTGGGTTTTTCTGGCTAAGATGTCTTTTTTAATTAGAAAATCAAAACTAGTATGGCTCATTATCAGTATTAATAAGCCCGTAAACCAATAAACAGGGGATTTATTAATGTAAAATTGTTTCAGAAAAGTGTAAAGTACAAGTACATTATAGACAAATGATAAAAGGCAACACTTCATTGTGAACAAATTTACCACAACTTTATTAAACGTTAAAAGAAATAAAGATCAATGAAAATAATTCATATAAGCTTGATAAATGGCATTCTTTATAATATATATCACAAAAGGTTAATATAGCATTGGAAACTGAAACATCTACAACGTCTTGTGAGAAACACCTCTATTAGAAACTAAATAATGAATGAAAAAGTAATGAATTGTGCATCGCTAATACTGGTAGCTATGTGGTAGCAGATATTGTAGCACGCAACATTCGGGTATATCAAGTAAATACATTGCTATACATATCACTAGAGTAAAAATTGATACGCTCCGATTTTTACAAATTACTCGAGACTAACTTCCAATGCCGCATTGGCGGCAATGCATCGATGGTTTTCGACAAGGGGATTCTTACAATTGAGGCCAGTTTTTAATGATCTCTGAAATTTAGGGTGAAGCAAATACGACAAACATATAAAATCGTATTGTATGGGAAAAGGGTCCTACTTTATATTAAACTAAAAGTGAGTTCTACTTATAAGAATGATGTGATTTTTTCTTCAGTCAACAGCTAAAATAAATAATTTGAATGTCTATCAGGACATGTTGGACAGGAATGTTGCGTGCTACAATATCTGCTACCGCATTCTTCAGGGAATGAGGCTATCCAGGTGAATGATAGCCTCATTCCCTGAAGAAGATGTCCTGATAGACATCGAAATATTGGAGGTAAAACCTATCTCAATATAAGCTGTTGACTGAAGAAAAAATCACATCATTCTTATAACTTAACACAGCTGATGAAATTCTTCTCCGAGTTCTTCTTATGGAAGTAAAACCGGTAGTGAATGAACACGTGCACATAAGATTCAACTGGTGCATGCGTTTTATACAATTTTCACGACTTGCTTCATAACATGATATTAGATTAAACATGTCAACAGATACTGTGATTATCTACTAGACACATTTCAGTAATCGTAAAACAGACGTAAGGTGCCCTTGTCGTTGATGAAATATTTAAACCCGGCGCTAGCATATTACACGTACGTATTTATTTCCTAAATAGCGTAATAATTACATGCGATTACCTATGTTTTATTTTGAGTGATAAAACAATACATCGTACAACTGCCATATGATTAAGTATTAATATTTCGATGAGAAATGGACTTAATTGCAATTGGTATTTGTTTAATTAAAAAAACTAGCAACATAAGAACTTTGGTACGATTGATATCACCTCATAATTCGATTAAAGCGGTAACTTGTTCTGCAAAAAATTGAAAAAAATTAAATGCGCACATATAGTGGTCAATTTTCTGTGTAATCTATATAAAGAGGGTGCTTTTGAAGATGGTGCCTCTGGAAAAGTGGAAACTCTTTTGAGGCCAGCCACACTGTCGCATATACACAAGCACATACTGAGACATTAAAAAACCCCTTGACTCTAACATACAAGACATGGCCGCTGTCATTGGCTATTACATATGCTGCGAGAAGAATTCCACAAATCAGGTGGTCTTGAAATTCATCACACAACTCACAAACGAGCGAGCGCGGGGATCCTTTCGTTCATTTAATCATAATCGTGTATATATAAACATACATATTGAAAATAACTTGTGTGAATAAAACAGTTCCCATAGAGCTGGAGCACATGTTAAATGTCTCATGGAGGACATGTTAGATGATGACAACAACGGTAATTTCATGCTAAAAGCCACAACAAAATGTTCACTTTGTGAACCATTGCAACCCACACGTACCTTGTAAAAGACAGCCGTATAGTCTAGATATTACTGCCGATCTCTCAGCCAAGGCTTTAAGTCGAACTTTGGCGATTTTTGCTGACCTCTCCATTAGGTTGATCACCCGCCGGACCTTGTGCTTTATAAAGATTCGGCTGTTAACGCTAGGTGTCGTGCGCTTGGCCATAGCAGGTTGGCTTGTTGGCAGCAATGGCGGCCGTTCCCTTACACTCCGCTATGTCGAAGAACCCACATACTATTCACATATACATGAAATATTCAATCCGAGCGTTTCAGCTGCGCTGGAAAATTTTTGTGAATTTGGTATAGCTATAACCATATAAAAACCGACGTGCGTCTTTCGTTTAATATGATTGCCTGGTAATGTTCGGTAATGCGGTGTGCTACCCACGAAACATTAAAATAATGTAGAGACGAAGAAGAGAGAAAAGAGCATTGGATGACACGTGTACAACTTCGGATTTCTTGTATTCCTTGTCTACATGTACAGATTGAATGCGGACACGCAAGAAATATTTAATGGAATCAGTTTTGATGATAGTGTTTTATTTGCAATACTGGGTATGCGCGCTAGTCTCTATATACTGTAACTACTATAACTAAAGTGTACAATGTTGAACATCTGGATTTATATGGATATATCCCCGGTAGATTATTTATGTCACTGAAATTATCCAAATGCCTCTTTCCTTTTAACTTCTATTGAAATTATCATTTTTTTTTTAATTTTAACTTTAACTTTAATTGGGTGCAGTCGTGTTTGAACTGTATTTCAAAGCTAAAGGTAGTAAAATATCACTAATAAACAAACAAACAAACAAACAAATAAAAAAACAACAATTAAGTGATGGGTGTAACTTTATTTTTAATAGAGAATATGGATATTAGTTTTATATATGTAGCTGTACTCACTTTTGGACCAGGGACAGATCGTTTCGGCAGACGCTAGGTACATGCATGGAACACGTCACAACTATGGCACTTTTGTTTAAAAAAACTACGTTTCCCCCCCCCCCCCCCAAAAAAAAAAAAAAAAAAAAAGGTACCAAACAACGAATTCTTTGTACCAGTAGGATATTCAGTCATATCAAATTCTATTTTCGAAATATAACATTAGTTAATGGACGTGTTCAATCACACATGTTATAGTGAGAATAGCAGGCAGAACAGATGTATTTTAAGGAGTGCCTTCCTTGTGATGGTTACTATTTCGTAGGCGTGCTGGTCCCTTTTTTATTGACTATTTTCTATTTCATTATATATGGATTATTGTCATGGCAACTGATACAGCATAAAATAGAAGTTTTGATTGGCATGTCAAAGGTTAAAAGTACGGGTAACAATTGTTAAAGAATAGTCATTAATTGATTTTATTAAACTTATTGGTAATTTTGATAGGTGTATCAATTCTTTATACATGTATACTAAGGTTTTAAACCTTTACTCTTCTTTTTCCCCTCACAAGAAATGATACATAATGCGCACACACTTCTTTAGCACTAGTTTAAACAGCAGAGGCATTACGACATTCATACCAAATTTTCTCAATGTCCATCTTGGCTCTCCCTGTCATGAGATAACCGACCTGTTTCTCTGCAGTGGCGCAGATAGTATTCTTTAACTTATCCACCCACCGCTCAGGGCGGCGGTTGGTGAAATCCCGGGTTAACTGCCTCTCTACTCCGGTAGCTATTGCTAGAGTGGTGACCCAAGCGTCCTCCAGGTTAACGACGGGGATATACGGTGCCACGGCCCATAATTTAGGCACTGCCTTTCCCGAGACGACGTAGAGTCCGCCTCCTTGGAAGTTTGGCCAGAAGTGATATGGATACTGCTCGTATGGCACATAGATACTATCACTCGGATCACGACGGACCTCGTGGTGAAAGTTTAATCTCCCTACAATGACGAGTTGGTTGGAGAATTTTCTCAGCACTTGGAGAAGCTTTTTAGGATTGAAAAACATGTCGTCGTCGATTTTGATTAGGTATTCTAAGTTTTGACAGTTTTCCGTGCACCACCGAAGCATCATGGCGGTTTTCAGTGGGAGATTGTGGTAGCTGTCTATGAAACTATACCCTATGATGTCGTTATTTTGTTTACCCTCGTTTTCGGTCGCTTTCCAAGCTGCCGTGTCTGCCGTGTAACCCACCATGAATAAAATTCGAAACTGTGGATGTGCTTTTAGAAATGGCTTCGTAACGCGTCGCCATAGTGACCTGATGCCTGCACCCGTTACTTTGGTGTGCACGACAATCAAGATGCGAGATTCTTTGTCACTGCAAACCCCCTTTGGAGAGAGTATCATTGTGTAATATTCAAAGCCGTTTATTGGCTTGGGTCGAGGGATGTAGTATTCAGGCGGCGGCAGACACGTGAGAGCCCTGCATTGCAGTTCAGCAGCTTTCTGTTCGTCAAGACGGTAATTTGGGTCCTTCTCTCTGAAATTTCTGATGCAGAAGTTGCATGGGGGTAACTCATTGCTGTTTTCTTTGCTCACATTGTCTGCCTGGGGAGTCTCACCAACTGTGCTTTCGTATTTGTTTGACGGCGGTTCTGTGCGGACAGATGAGTCAGTGGACAATGGTGCCCACTTCACTTTGGAACTCTTTTTCTCTGTTCCTTTTGACTGGCTGGCATCTACCCTTCCTTCACGTTCATATTGACGTTCTTCTCTTGTATATAAGTCAGCAAAATCCTCTTCAATCCATTCATTTTCCTTAAAATATGTTATATTTATTTGTGGGAAATGCTCCCTGTAGTGGACCATGATGACGATAATGCCTACTGCAAGGGCTGCTAAGACCCGCGAATTTCTTCTGAAGAGCATGACAGACCTGGAATAATAATTAAAAGTAAACTATTTACGGTGCTCTGTGATATATTAACTGGTAATAAATAGATTATCTAAATGTGTGTGTGTGTGTGTGTGTGTGTGTGTGTGTGTGCGCGCGCGCGTGTGTGTGTGTACTTACTGGGAATTATTTCTTGGTGAATGTGCTTGATGAATGTGCTGAAGTGACAATGAGCTACATAAAACTTTGTTAGCAATTATGCATTCCGAGTACAACTGTTACATCATATCCGAACAACAACTATTGTTAAATATGGGAAAATTGCCGTTTACCCCAGGAAAATTCATTTTTGGACAAAATGAACAGTTGTTATCCTTTTAAGTTTTCCGATGATACCACCTGCGCTGGCCCTATTAGCACTTCTGAGTTCGATTATCGAAATCAAGTTTCGTCTCTTGTTTCATGTAACAGGCTTGTTAAAGGGTCAAACGGTGCATTTTGTAGTACAAATGTCTAACTTGGCATGAATGTTCTTTGGGCCAAAGGAAAATGTTTTATTCATAGAGGCACGCAAAACGCACAGCTGTTACTAGTCTCAGTGACTACAGCCCTGTAGCTCTTACTTCCATTGATATGAAGGTGCTTCAGAAATTTGTTCTGCAACATGTAAAATCAAAATTACCAACGTCCTTCGACCCTTTTCAAGTTGCATATCGAAAGACAGGTCTACTGGGGATGCTGTTGCTATCACTTTACATAATGTTCTTATTTTTTTTTATCACAAAATCCCTAATTATTCACGATTACACTTTATATATTATACCTCTACATTTAACACGATATCGTCTTTTAAACTGCACGAAAAACGTGTAAATTCTCTCAATTTTAGTACATCACTCACAGGCCTGTAGCCGGGGGGGGGGGGGGTTTTCGGGGGGTTCGAAAGACTCAGTGACTGGATTTTAAATTTCCGAAGACTATAGACTTGCCATACATATCTCTGATCATCTTAAATGGCACATCAACATAAATAAAATTGTTTGTAAGGCTCACCAAATACTTTACTTCCTTCGACGATTGAAAAACTATGTGAGGAAATCTTCAGTGTGTATATAAAAGGTAACGTACGGGGGGTGCATTATCCATCAAGAGTTGGTTTATCATTAACCTTAGCTAATATGTTAATTTTATAATTATTCAAAATAACGATGTCTTTTTGGTCGAGTGTAATTCAATGGGCCGTTATTTATGCTTCTTCCTGTATTGAAATCAAGAAAGAAGGAAGGTAAACCGCAAATACTCACTTTTTATTTAATCTTGAAGCATGTTTACCGCAGGATTCGTTGACAGATTTGTAATGGTATAAAACTATCCTCGAAGTTGCTCTTATCTCTATACGCCTCTTAAGTTAGGACTACAGCTGTAGTGATAAGTTATATACATTGTAAGCCATTACAGTAATAACGTTACCTCGATTAATTTCTTTTTTTAATGAAATGGCGAAAATCAACATCCATTGAGACAACATAGACACATCCGGTGTGAATCCACCCAATATAAAGTCTAAAGCATTATGATTTCCCGATGGAAAAGGCAAAACAGCATAAAAAACGTTCACCTACCGTAATATTCGGTTCCTAAGATATACCATATATATCTATATATTTCTTGTCGTCTGTCAGATCAGCGAGGCACGGCAGTAGTATACCTCCATCTGTGTGCTACGTTCTTCAATTATTTAGAAAAAAAATCTATTATTCATGAAAAATCTGAGCTCAAGGTCTAGGTGTGGGTTTGAGCCCATATAACATTCCCCAGTGCTAACTGACGTCGACTAATCACTCGTACAATAAGAGAAATGTTCTTCATTACGGAGAACTAAGAGCCCCTGAAAAAAGTTACAGTGAAGTTGAAATAATGATATCTGAACGTCCACTATACTGGGTAACAACAATGGGACATACCAGTAGACATCAACATTTTAACATGGTCACGATATTGTCAGCATGCTTTCCGATTAGAATATGCATAGTGTTTTGCTTTATATTCATAAATATGCATCAAACACGTATAAAGATTATCAGGGTAGCCTACACTTAACTTCACAGAGTTGAGAAAGCACGCTGCGATCCCGAATCGGCGGTTTAACAGCGATGACATGAAATTGTTTTTCGTGAATTACACGCCAAAAAGTGGGAATCGGATTATTTAATTAGTCTCGATTAATATTCATGTGACTGGGTTATTACGTCATCAAAACTATTTTCATCGAGTCTCACTAAATTGCTATCAACTTAACCAACTTAAATGTCTGTCACGCCTACCGAATAAGCTATGGTAAAGATAGTTACCCCCTAACAGCTTTACTAGACGTGACAGACATTTCAGCTGGTTAAGCTGATAGCAATTTAGTGAGACTCCCCAGGGAGATAGATCGATCCAAATATCTGTGGGAATGGTCCCTAAAATACTATACAAAATCACGCCGCTTTATTTCAACATTCTTTGGAACAGACTACTAGCGCACCCTGTGGTGGGAGAGTAAGAGACAGGTGTTACCATTTATTAAACACTGGTACGAGGTACGACTCAGGGCTTATGATGAATTTAAAACATGTTGAAAGATACTTATCATTTGTCAAACATTTAGCCATATGTATTAATAAAGCAGATTGCTTGAATATTTATATTTAAATATCAATACAGAAAATAATAATGTATTCATATTGAATATTTATATTTGAATATAAAAACAGAAAATAATACTGCACTCATGCAACTTCAACGATTGAGCTTCATGCCACTAAGTATCGACACAGCTAGACAAACAAAAACATATCAACTTTTAACGAACTTTTGGCGGATACTTGATCTATAAAGCACTTTCTTAAATTTAATCCCATTTTAGAAATATGCCATGGATGATTTGATAATTGAACTGTACACGATCTCTCTCTCTCTCTCTCTCTCTCTCTCTCTCTCGAAAATGTCACTGTTGTTATGAAACGAAAAAGTATCGACGCAGCTAGACAAACAAAAACAATTCAAACATTTACAGAACTTTTGGCTCATACTCGAATGGGGTTTACGGATTAAAATGACGCCCAACACGCAATATAGATGTTTTTTCCAGTCCATGGAAATATGCTGTATTTTTCCCATAAAAGATATTCTTGATTTATTACAAGAGTGGTTTATTTTAGATAATGGCAATTAACATTAAAATCACTTGGTTTGTCCAGGTTGCACACGGTTTTATTATTATTATTATTATTATTATTATTATTATTATTATTATTATTATTATTATTATTATTATTATTATTATTATTCGTTTATTGGATGAATGTTGATGACGAGTATATATATATTTTTATTTTATATATTAACTAAAAACAGGGGACAGGACAGTACTTATTGGAGGGGGGGGGGCGATGGCGGGGACGAGTTTAACCGGTCAAGTGAAGGTTAGTTAACAATGAGTATCACAGAACTGTGCTCTGGCGGTGCAATATATCGATACTAGATCACATCTCTTACACCACTCCAGTAGAAAATATACCTTTCAGCCAAACAAACTTTTGCCGCCAGGAGTGTTTGCGTATGGCTATCATGTGCTTGTCAGTTTGAACAGAAACATGGTGTGAGCTATTCACGGCACTCTGTTACCTGTTGTCCCAGGACAAACAATTAAAGCCACGCACACACACTATAAAAACATACACAATCAATTCATGTACCTGTCTTAATGGACTAACGCCTAGTCAATTATAGGGCCGCGTTCGCATTTAACTCATATAGATCTTACCTTACGAGATGAATGACGTCGGAAGTCCTGATTGCAATCAAGCCTATGTCCGCTGAAAAACAATCCGATAAAATGAGCCGATATTTGAAATCTACTGTAAACTGATATTTATAGCCATCGTTGTGCAGCGACCCAATTGGCGTCACAGTCAAGTTGCGTCACTTGCACGCCGCGTCAGCTCGGTTCATTTAGAGCGTAACGTGAACGCAGCTTAGAATCCAATACTGTTCAATCATTGGCTTTAAATGGGATAACATAGCCGAGTATTACCTGATGCTGAACACAGGTGTTTGTTATATTCAGGTAGATCGTCCGTGTGTGTTGGGAGATGCCGACATTGTGTAGCTGTGCGAGGCGCAAGAAGAGGGGGAACAGACGGGGAAGAATACGATTGTATCAATCACTTCAAGAATGGGTGTTAAAATATTTTCTAATCGGCTAAGTGATATTCATTTTTGTTTAAATCAAGACCGCTACTCGAAAATATGCCACTCGAAGTAAATATAAGATGTAAAAATAGGCGTTAACATCCAGTGTTCTACATCCACGGTAAAAATTTAATGGCAATAAAATGCTTCTTATCTGCCAATCATTATACAATTTAAATATATTTGTTAAACGTGCTTATTTTATCTGTTCACTGTAAATATTAAAGGCGGGTTTTCCATCTTCCCTAGATTCGCCGACCCAGCGGTTAGTAAACCGGGAAGCTTTTCTCCTTTACCCAGAGAGACAATACATTAACCTCGTCGTACCCGACCCCCCCTCGACGTCACCCTCTCTCCACCCAAGCACATTGTCATCTCTCTCTGTAGTAACCAGACTGAAGAGCTCTCCCCGAGACGGTAAACATCCGAGGAAAATGTCACCAATTGCTCCTCAGGTTCAAAGTATGTAACCGACCAGTGACCAGGTGGAGTGGAAGAGCAGGCACAGGTGTTTTTTGGTTGCTAAGTGACGACTTATTAAGGGGACAGTTACAGTGGATTAAGGTGCTCGAAGAGAGTGATCAGTGTCGGTGAGTGATCACCGGCGATTGATTACACGGCCTGCCAAGCATAAGAGGGTTAACAATTTGGAAGACCTGCGACTAATTATTTTTCATTTAGGAGGACAACAGGTAAGTTGATGTTCAGTTACAGCTAATATTGTCTCCAGAAAATGCGCTTGAGTATTTCGACTGGTGTAATAGAATGTGAATTAATTGATGTAAGTAGTGTAGATTGATCTAAACATCGGTCTACTAGTATATAAGTAGGACATGACGTATTCATGATGATAAAACTGCCTATGCATGATGATATTTCTATTGGTAAAAAAACATGATAGTATATCCATCAATACTAAGGTCAGTACATTTGAATGAGAGTACCTAAATGTACGTGTACGGCCTAGTAGAGGTAAACCTACCTAAGACTGGTTTTGTTCGGTACAAAAAAGGTCAAATAATGAATAGAACTGACTTTTACATCAGGTTTGTCTTTTAAGCAATAAAAATTGTGTCAGAAGACGAGCTTTGAGATATAAAATTACATTTAAGGACAATAAGCGTTCATATCCAAATGCGAGAAAAAACAACTTGTTCGTCAACACAAAATAGGCCTGTATAAAGACGCACAAGCTATGAAGTGATTCTTTCAGTGGGAGGCGGATGAGCTCATTTATTTCCACCCTTTTAATGATGGCAATATATATTTTATAACACGAAAGGATTGTTTACAATATAACCCAAACACGTGTGTTTGTTCCATACACGGTGTCATAAATAATAAAAGAGAAATTAAAAACAGAGAGGATCAATAGCCAAAAATAGTAGAATATGCAAAAATCCATAGGATTATGTATAAAGACGGGATAGAGAATAGAGCAATTCTCCAGGTTCACATGTTCTTCTATATAACACTTATATTATATCCAGGAATACAAATGGTACATGATCACGTCTTTTCCAGGACGTACCAAGTTTTCTTTCTAATCCAATATTCATATTTGAGGGTCTTCTCGGATGTCATTTAATTGATAATCTTTAAGTTCTATGTATTTCAATTGTAAGCAAATACTCGATCGTTTTGAATTAGTTTTTCTTATCATTAGTTTATGATTGTTTTTATTTTATAAGAAATGAAACTCATGCCATGAAAATGCTTGATTACAATCTGCGTTTTGGTGCCACTCACGATCACTTTGAGTATCTAAATTAACTTAATGGATACTTAACCATGAAAGGTACATTCAAACTTCTACTCTAAGAAGCTGGGGCTTTAAAGGTTGAAAGTTTATCCTACAGGTGCAAAAATGCAAGAGAGAGAGAAAGAGAATAATAACTGAAAAAAAAAAACATTTGGTGTGAATACTCCCAAACCAACGCTTGCATACGCTTGCACTTATCTGAACTTTCGACCACACACATTCACACGCAATTTAACTCAACGCATGCACGCACACGCATAGTCGTGGTTACCTCCAGGTTTAGTTCATACACCCAACAAAGTTAATCAAATGTCACTCTAGACCACTATAGGGGCTTTCTTTTACTATCAGAATTATTTCCTACTCTCCATTGTCACCCTTATTTTCAGAGGCACTGGGCTCTCGTCTGCATAGCCAGTATGCTATGACCGCAGCCTGGTCGACCCTCTACCAGGGCCACGCATATAATTTTCACATGATATTCACGGTTATTTCTCTGTCTATCTACTACATGTGTAGCTGTGCACATCTTTGTCCTGCGAGGCACCCAAGATTTCTGCGCAAAAATATGATACGAATTTATTCAGACATTGATATACATATATAAAATAAACATAACGGAAATTGAAGTTTTGAAGTATAATATGTTTCTTAAAGTCTATTTTTTTTGTTTGTTGAAACGAGGAACAGCAGACGGATAAAAGCTCCTTAAAATATTTCTTGATCCTCTAAACGTTAAAAGTCTACACTTGCTAGGTAAGAAATTAAAAAGCTCAATCGAACATAATTTTTTTGTAAGTGACACTTAAAGAGGGGAGTTCAAGGCTAATGATTTTACTGCACGTTTTTGTCATGACATCAACTACATATAAGTCATAACCCAGCCGCCCTCTGCTCTACATAGATTAGCCTGTCTGGATGTGGCTATCGCGAAGCAAGGCACCGGCGAAATTCCAGTTCCCTCGGTTACTAAGGGAAACGTTGGATACTTCATTATCGTTCTACCTTCTCGTAAGGAGACTAACATTTTGGTCTAAAATCTGAGAACATATTTCGATCTATATTGCCCTTTTTTGAAAACAATCCCAAGTTTCCTCAAATGACCGACAGCTGAAAGCAGTAGCCGTCCGTTTAAAATCCGATGTATCATGATCAGTTTACCAGCTATAAATTGCTTATCTTATAAGATATCTAGCTGATATATATTTTAAGAGTTAGGGCATACTTTATGTGGATTTTATGAGGAAAAATAGTTGAATCGCCCCTCGAAGTCATTCGGCTTTTCAGAAATATAGAAAGGGTTGGTGAATTAAGCGAACGACAACAAGAGTGTTTTTTCTATTTATTTATTTATTTGTTTGTGTTAATATAATAGTACATATTACTCATCAAATGTAAGTATACAGCTTCAAATCATGATTATTGAAAAGTTATCTTGGTAACTACACACTGTCTTTTTTTCGAATACAAAAAATAGAGAATAAAGAAACACAATATATGACAAACAGATAAAAGAATAAATATTTGAATAGATGAATAAAAACACTGTAGTGGAACCAAACCCTTGGTACAACATTTTTGTGGAAAATCAATGCCTTGAAATAAGCATAAAATCCATTAAGTAGATTAAAAATATTTTCCAACGATTTTATTTCATCGTCTATCACCTTGCATATACAAAGGTAGGCTGCTGGTTCCCACATTATGTGGAAATTAATTGATGTAAAAATCATTCACAAGCCCATTTTTATTCCTTCTATCAGTGAGCACGAGTTCTCACGTTTGTTATTCAAAACGTAACAATAGTTTGAATTACGGTCAACTCCTATCTCTTTGATCGAATGGATTGCTTAATGGTTCGAAGAAAGAACGACATTAAGGTTAAAACACGTACGGTAGATATTTTTTAATGGAACTAGTGGATCTTTTGTGCCAATCAACGCGTTCTTCGATTGAACACATAGCTGGTGCTTTATTTGGCGGTCGCCTCTTAGATTAATGTTCGATATCTAAGTTTCCTGTCAGGTAAGACTAATTCACCGAGCTCGCGTTAGTTATGAAAATGTTGCGTAGGAGTCCGTAAGGGTACATAAACGGGTGAGGTGGGGGTGGCGTAGTTGAACCTGAACCCCTCACTCTTTTAGTTCTAAGCGCAGAGAGCAATGGATATGAGTGTGAATAGTACACTTCGGTAAATAATCAAAATATTTAAATGAGAACCAAGCCAATCATGCCCAATATCTACTCATGATACGTGACCCCCTCCCGTACACACACACACACACACGCGCGCGCGCGCACGCGCTCTTAAAGATGCTTTTTTTTATACCTTTATTTTTATTCAGACCAGTCTACCCCAACCTTTTCCATTATATATGCTCTATTTTTCGTGATGCCGATCAGGTCGAATGAACAAGGTTGACTGCAATGCTTTTAGAATTCTGCTTCAGATCATCCAAATACTATACAACCAGCATGGATGGCGTCACATCAATCAATTGAAGTTAATATAGATTACGATTTCATAAAGACATCAGGTTTAATATGAAGCTCCAACAAAAAAAAAAGCAATACGAGTCTTACAATGCACGGTTTCAGTTCTTGCCTGCTGCTTATGCCACCAATCAAAATAAAGCCAAGATCGGATTTGGCAACAGGCTTTATCAAATTGTCAAACTATTATTTAGCTTAAAACCTGGGAAGGGTGTTTACATTTCATTAAGAGCTGCGAAAACCTAATTGCTACCAACACCAAATTGATGAACAATTTGTGGACAAAATTGGAACTGCGCTGATTCAAAAAGAGGATTCTGTGAGTAAACCCGAAAGGTCCGTCCTAGAATGTGAGTTTATTTGAGAAGAGAGATTCGAACAAATACTTCGTTGCCGTGAAATGTTGACTTTGTCTGCGGTATGCGACAAAAAATCGAACATTTTTTCATTAGAGACAATTCCACGAGAGTCCGGTCAATCTTTGAAGGACAAACACTGAGAACAATTCACAAACCTCAGACCAACCCATTACAACTCGTTCTCACTGGACCAAATTTCTGTTCCTATGGTGTACATATATTTATATAGCACTATCGCGTCGCCGTTACTGTCATAATCAAACAGTGATTCGATACGTAGAAGCAATGAAGTTAAGTCAGTGCGCCATTATCGAATTATTTCCTTCGCTTAAAGACCCACTTTTCTGATCAATAAGCACAGTGGGTTTAATGGACTTGACATAACACGTTTAAACAGTAATGTTACACCATGTTTCTGAAACTGAAATTCAGTAGCAGGCACACACAAACTTAATCCAGACTCAAGCTTAAGAACACATTGTACCGTTTTCGTACACATTGTGCGGCAATTAATATCGGGTCGGAATCACGGATGGCAAGTTAAAGTAGCCTTGTTACAATACTTTAGAAATATTTATATATCAGGTGTGTAGGGTAAGAAAGGGACTTTTAAAAAGGCAGAGTGGAGTCAAAAACGACAATGGGCGGTTACAGTCATATCAAATCATCTTGATGTCCAAGGGTTAGCTATGGTTAGTTTGCTAATTAGCATCTATAAACATCACCTTCTGCGTTCATTATTATTATTATTATTATTATTATTATTATTATTATTATTATTATTATTATTATTGTGAGCATCTTTGAATAGGTTTTCAGACTGGCGTTCATTCCATCTAAATATTTAAGAGTATCGTCAGGGTTTCCATATGGTCAAAAGAAGGTCCTCTCTGAATCAAACATTTATCTGCATAGAACCTTTTCCATTTCTCATTTCATGGTAAAAAAATATATATATTCAGGAAAAGAACTCCCACTTTAAAATTGCTGGCGAAAGCACTGTCCATCTATACTCTATTTCAGTACATATAATTAATTCTAAAAATGTCTCGTTTATAAACATTAAGCCTCAGTAACTTAATGCCGCGTGAGTAGTTTTGTTAATTGCAGTGGCAGAGGAACCCTTTTTTGTTCAGTGCCAGTGGATGTGGCTTGTATATTAAAACGTCATTGATTAACTTCTGTGGGGACAAATTGATTAAGTTAACTTAACTTGATGCTAAGGTTGCCATTAGCGGAGCGACCTTAGGTAGGACTTAACTTACACGACTGCGTTCCAATGAACTCTTTTTNATTATTATTATTATTATTATTATTATTATTATTATAGTGAGCATCTTTGAATAGGTTTTCAGACTGGCGTTCATTCCATCTAAATATTTAAGAATATCGTCAGGGTTTCCATATGGTCAAAAGAAGGTCCTCTCTGAATCAAACATTTATCTGCATAGAACCTTTTCCATTTCTCATTTCACGGTAAAAAAAATATATATATATATTCAGGAAAAGAACTCCCACTTTAAAATTGCTGGCGAAAGCACTGTCCATCTATACTCTATTTCAGTACATATAATTAATTCTAAAAATGTCTCGTTTATAAACATTAAGCCTCAGTAACTTAATGCCGCGTGAGTAGTTTTGTTAATTGCAGTGGCAGAGGAACCCTTTTTTGTTCAGTGCCAGTGGATGTGGCTTATATATTAAAACGTCATTGATTAACTTCTGTGGGGACAAATTGATTAAGTTAACTTAACTTGATGCTAAGGTTGCCATTAGCGGAGCGACCTTAGGTAGGACTTAACTTACACGACTGCGTTCCAATGAACTCCTTTTAACAATAATCAGAGGCTTGTTATCATACTAAATTGATATGGTATCGAAACGAATCCAACTGGAAACTATTATCCAAATGATGTGATCCATTATAAAATGATTAAACAAGCCCTACATATATAACGTGAAGCATTAAATTGCCTGCTTTTTCTTTCGCGTTTATTCTGAAGGTATTTCCTTCTTATTTATGACATCGGGATAGAATTAAAGGTGAGCAATTTAAAAGCGCTGGGAGTTTTTATGACTGTGTATCGTATTTTCTCTGGGGATTTCAATTTATTGGGATATGTTGACGAATGGGGTGTGTTTAAAGGTCTCGCGAAGGTCAGGCAACTAGTGTGAAGAAATAAACAGATGCAGATGAAAACATGCGTGCGCTACTCTTTAGTAGAAATATTAATTGAATAACTCTTTTTCGAATTATCGAAAAGCTTTCCTTAGAAAATCAATACCGCAGGTAGAGCAATTAAAACGTCCTTTGATCTCCCTTTGTAACAGGTGTTCGTAATGGGCAAATAAGTCTTAATCTTCACTAAGATATAGTGAAGATATAGTAAGATTAAATGATAATTGAAGTAAGCGCTTAGAAACGCTTTACGTATTCATATTCTGATGCATACAATACCGGAGTATTGACATAAGAATGGAGTTTTACTGGACCAGATAAAGTATATAGTATTATTACATACAATCGGTTCAAAATCGCACGATTTATACAGTCTACTCAAAGCTGCTATTAAACTGTGGTTGATGGGAATCCATAAGGATCATAAGATCGATAAGTATCTACGCTAACAAAACCATAGCCAACGTAATACGGGGAACACTTTTATTTGACATTTACCTCTGGCCTTAACTTGGGTACAAACTGCTAACAGTATTGGGAGTATAAACTTTGTGAAAGAGAGTAAGGTGATCTTGTAATAAATAAATAAATAAATAAATAAATAAATAAATAAATAACAGTACCGACAGACCTTTTGTATCATTTGTTACGTTATATTGTAGTTATACTTTATCTCTTTCAGAGTAAATCCACATCTTTTTTCTTATTCCAGACAACATTGTCCTCAAATCAGCGCCCGGGATTAAAAACGTAATTTCTTTCAACAATTGGCAAATACAGATTGTCTTTCACTGATCTTCAAGACGAACAACTTCGCAAACAAGTTAAAAATGTCAAGCGCAAAAGGAGATAAACACGTTAAATTTGGATTAGGTGAGCGTTTGGTTTTTCTTAAGGATGATTCTAACAGGGAAAGAACGCCAAACTTAATAGGAAGGGAAAGCAAGAATGGAAGATATGGGAATAGTACGCTCGAGAACAAATCGACTTCTTTTTCTCCCTCCTCTTCTTCTTCGAATTCACCTCGGCATATTCGTGCGCTCACAGCAGCTGGCAGACGAGCGGATTCCAAAGGCAACTTTCGCAGTCGCACCTCTCTTGGAAAATTTTCAGAAAGAGACTCTCAGATGGACAATGTTGCAGATGTTAGCATTCCACAGGTTTCAAAGGAGAGAAAACACATCAAAAGTGCCCTTCGCTCTTCTAAAGAAACGAGAGAAACCAGCATTACTGACCAAAGAGTCCAATTTGCAGACGATAGAATTAAAGGTAATCGATCTCCTCGCTCAACGATCTTGCCAAAGATTAAAGTCGCATTTTCTGATGGATCAGATAGCACAGAAAATGCTTTTCAAAAGGACCTCACTGATATTAATTCGAATTTAACCGATGCAAGCGACCAAAATCACAATTCCGGTGTGATAAAGTCCAACTCTGGTGACGAAGATAAAATGCCTGCTGGGCAATCTTTTGACACCACGGCAGCTAATGAAACTGCCATTAAAAACCCTCTAGTCACTAAAATTACACAGGACGGATTGATGGCGTTTCCACTATCGGGTGACTCCGAGAGTGATAAATCGTCCGAACTAGGGCAAGATCGGATAAATTCGGAAAACATCGGTTATAGTCGTGAGGATTCGATCACACTTACACAGGGAAGCGAACACTATGCAAAAAGGGACCAGGAACTGAAAGAAAATAATTCGCCAAAGGTCTCCTTTACGGACCAACCTTTAGGAGGCAACACGCAAGTTTCCACAGAAACAGGGAAAGGCAGTGATAAACACGTCGAAGAGCCCAACAAAGGCACAGGGGCAGACGATAATTCTGAGATTGACGAGGAAACTAAGGCGAAACTGCAGATGATATTTTGGTTGAAGCAGAAACGGGCAAGAGAGAAAAAAGAAAAACTGGAAAAACAGAAGAGTGATAGATTTAAAAAGTCCAAGGTGAGGTGATTATTTTTACCTTGTATCATTTTACTTAGCAGTAATTCTACTCTGCCACACTCTCCAAACCATCCCTCACATGCCGGTCTTTGAACACACGCGCGCACACGTGTATACATACACACTCGCACACTGGCAAACGTGCGCACACGCGCACGCGCTATAGCTCATTATATATATATATATATATATATATATATATATATATATATATACTAGTTTATCAACAGAACTGAACAACAGCGCGTGCATTCCGGTATTTATATAATATTTGTTTGTTTGTTTATTTGTGGTTGTTGTTTATTCCTCTTATGTATGTAACACGGGTTTCATTTCCTCATTTTATGCCCATTATCACGGAAAATACTCATTTTGTGGAACACATTTTCAAGTAAAGCCATAAAAGTACTTTATAACTTTTTTATGACTACAAAACATCAGTACCAGTAGTTCTTTCTATGGGATTTGGGGCCGCGGACATTACGTGGTGAAGGGATTAAATAATGCCATTAGCGTAATTTACAAGCGCTCTTAAAACTAAAAAAAGAACATGAACAATCCATCCCGAGAAAATTGGGTGCCATATTATTTTATGTCTTTCTTTTTTATTTCCGGCAAGAATTATTCATCCAGTTAAGAAAGTGTAGCTTTATATGCTAGCAGTCACGTATTTGCTTATTCACACACGCACGCACATACGCGTGTGCACTTATTTCCCTAAATGCATAAGCACAAGCACGTTTGATAGCTTTAAGTCTGGAGTAATAAAAAACATTTATGCAAAAACAGAAACTTTGTATTTATATTAAAAGAGAAAAGCGAACCGACCTACCCTTGCAATGGGCTGTTTATTTGTTAATTCCTTGCATTTACGGAAACGTATTAATAAGCACGTAGTGAATCGCTAGGGTCTGTTTTAAAAAAGCGACTAATACCTAAAATCGATTTAACCAAAGACTGCGGTGGAACTTAGCAGACTATGTCACACTTCAGAGTAATCTATAAGGTCTCAAGTCAAAGCCATTTTTTATAAATAACCCAGAGGGGATTTGAAACGTCTTGGCGACGATTTTCGCCACGGTTGTTGACATATTCCATTAAAACAACTACATTAACTGTGGGCTATCGTTCGAAAGGCGCCCATGTTCCGATACTGCAGCGTTGACTTTACGAAAAAAAACATCTCTGTATACTTGCCCAAGAACAACTTGCAGCCATGTTCTTAAACGTGCCCCGGGTCACTGCTAAGCACGAGAAACCACAAGCGAACGTGATACCATTATCTTACAATTCTTGACACACACTTAAGTGGTGCGGGCCAAGGGTGAACAGTAAAGAGTAATATAATGCCACAGAAGCTGGGAAGGGGGCATGTTTTACGGGTTTTCACTCAATGCCATACAACGGGTGCGTTACTGGAATGTGTTCAGGCTCTATTGCGTATGATCCTTCTACATGTTTAATACTGTAGAAAAGCGCAGTTAAAGTGATATAATATTATATGTAATGTAAGAAAATTTATTGTAACCTATGCGCCGGCATTTACTGGCAAAATCGCAAATATTTATTTTTATGGAAATATGACATTATTGAATTAGGTAATGATTTTATTTTTATTTATTTATTTTTTTTTTTTTCGAACAGAAAATGTTATCTAATTTTTTGTGTGTGTTTCCTAAAAGTCGAAATAAACATTTTTTTCGATATAAAAATGCTAATTATTGGTCCATTTTGCTCTAATTCTCTAAATCTACCTTTTAATCGAGAAGAACATTAGGAGTAATTTAATGTCACCTAAGCTGGGGTGAGGGCATGTTTTACGAGTTTTCACTCAGTGGCTTACATCGATCAAAATAACTTGGACAAATACATCGTGTTCAGTTTTTTTCGTGACAAAATTTAGGCTAAGGTTTTAAGAAACTGTAAATTTAATCAATGTCATATCAAAAGAAAAATCTCTAACCAATCTCTTAATGGCCTTAACTTTACTTTTTATTTAATTCTTAACTATATATTTTTTTCGAAATTCTTTTTATTTTTCTTCTTTTCGTTCTTTTTTCTTTTGGAAATAGCGGCATTGACTCACATAATGCCGATTTGCCATTCAATTCAGTGTTTAACTTCGATGGAACTTGACAATTTTTCAAATAATAATAATAATAATAATATTCTCACATTTTAGGCTAGAAAACAGTTCCATGACGCAATATGGAAGGTTCGCTGGATCATCCGCTTCAAGATCCTGATGAAAAACCTCAGTGCCAGAAAAACCACGCAGTCAGCCACAGAGGCGCATTGGCACGCGACAAATATGGTCAAAGAAGACTTGGACAAGCCGCTGATCTTTAACAAGTTGTTCTTTGCTAAGGACAGGGTAAGGGCATGCGGTAATCACTAGAGAGTGAAACGACAGAAAAAAAGGCGCCCATGCCAAGCACTAAAATTGTGACCCACTTTTAACAACTTGCATTTGAATAAAGTGATTTTTTGTTCAATCAACAGCTAAATATTGAAATGGTTACCTGCAATATTTCGATGTCTAACAGGACATCTTTATAATTCCCAATGATATTTAGCTGTTGATTGAAGAAAAAACACTTTATTCTTATAAAAGAGCACAGCTGATGAAATTCTATAACTGACTTTTTTTTTGTGTGTGTGGGGGGGGGGATATCTTAAATGGTATGCGACAGTGCATTGATGTAACTTACCATACTTTAATTAATAAATGAATTAATGTAATTATTTCTTGATATAGGCGTACGACCGTGTGCCACACTGGGCTCAGGAAGTTCTCAGGAAAGAACCAGATCAGAGAACAGACGTTGAGTGTAGGAGAATACACGTGCTACTTCGCGGGTTGAAGGGAATGAATCGCTTCACAGAGAGAATACAGCTATATATGTGTAAAACTGCTTGGTATCAGAGGTAGGGACCGTGTGTGTGTGTGTGTGTGTGTGTGCGTGCGTGCGTGCGTGCGTGCTTGCTGTGCAATTTTGTTAGCATGTTTATATTTGTGGATTTTGTATGATTGCCCGATACAAGTAGTAATAGAGAGGAATGATTTTAGTTTCAACAAATCTTACTTTAAAAAACCAAACGTCGACTAATAATATCACATGAATTGTTGAATTAATAGTATCACAGACAATGCTTGTCTGAGATACTATTAATTCAACAATTCATATATATATATATACCAGGCTAATGAACTTTTTTAAGAGCTAGTAATATTACATTCCACTGATAACTATAGATGTGACAAGTAATCATAAAGAGATCATCAAAACGACCAGTCTTAAAACTTAACATGCTGTCTCAGACTCATCCTTGTCCTGTTTTTCAGTATCGACCCTCAGCGCGTGGTGTTACGTAACGGTCACGTGGGACAGCAGTTTTACATCATCTACTCAGGCTCCGTGTTCGTCAACCTCGACGAGACCACAATTACTGGAGAGAAAATAGTCCGTACCGAGGCTATTCTGGGGAGAGGGGAGTCGTTCGGGGTACGAGAATTCGATATATTTTTTGTTATCACTTTTATCTAACTTCGTCATATTTAGTTAGTTAGTAATATATTTATCATAATGTATCTATTTATATTACTAATTGCTTTATTTTTTTTTCTTAAATTTATTTGTTTATTTTCATTTATCTATTTTATTACTGCTTGTTGATGTTTCGAATTTGTATATTGTCTTGGTACATTCACGACATACCTGTTCTTTCTACAGGAACAATCTCTACTCCGTAACGTCCTGCGTACGGCGACAATATCGTGTCGTGAGTGGTGTGAGTTTCTGGTGGTAGAGAAGGACGTCTTTGCCGAGGTCTGCCCCAAGATATTTGACGAGGAGCTGGCCGAGAAAGTGGAATTCGCTAAGTAAGCACTGCCCTCTGATATCAAAGAGTCTCTGGCGTAGCGTAAAATTATGAAGAAGAGACTGTTACAATGATTTTGTAAGGCTACTAGCGGACCCTGTGAGTCAGAGAGTAATTTAACACCACTTATTTCTGATTGTGCTATCATATGTGGATTATAAAATATATATATTTTTGAAAATTTAGCAAATAATTCATAAATCATGTAACATCAACGTATTTACATTCGATCACTTGATTAAAAAATATCTAAAGCGGTTTTTTTTTTCTACAATCCAGACGACAAGCGATGTTCAAGACAAAATGGTGGCGAGAAGACGACATAAAGAATCTCTGTTTTGAGGCTCAAATCCAAGAGGTTTGTCAGCCAATAGATTGGACTTTCTATCCATATCTGTTTAATAATTAACATCTTTTATTAGCACATTAAGTTCCACTCAAAAAGACACTGTATTAGGCTATCCATAATATATCTAGGAGAACATGATTACTACAGTAGATAAGAATTTTGACTTCAAATGTGAAATGACATGTACGGGATGATGTCATTGTCACTTACAGCTGTATTTTATTAATATGGCATTCATTGGCTGGAACAGGTCACGTCCTCCTCTTTTAGCTTATAAAGCACGCCCTTCACTAGCCCTCGGAAAAAGTATAAGTATATGATACAGGACAGAACGAACCAGCTTCCATTCATTTGTTGTACATGTTATGAAAAAAATCCCCTCATCTACTGTTTATATCAGAGAGGTAAAAATGAACTGCCCCCCCCCCCACACACACACACACACACACACCTTCCCAGTTTAAAACTCTGGATTAGCCAGTGACATTGTAATATCTTTGTAACATTTAGGTCATATATGCGTTTTATATCCATAAACTTCTATCTATTGCAGTACAAGACGAACAAGGTGATTGTGACTAATAATCTCGAGGACGAGTGGATCTACATCTGCATGGAGGTGAGGAGAATGATTGGGAATCATGTGGGCTTACTATGAGTGTGATAAAAATGGCTGTTCATAAAGTTACTTCTTAATTTTGCATTATCAAGCTTTTAAAAATTAGGAAAAACTACATTATTCAGGCCTACCTTACTACCAGACTCGGCACCGAATGATCCTGAATTCACCGGTAGATCAGACCACACTACCCGTTTTCAAGGTGTGTGTCAGATCGCATTACACAGTATCATACCCTGAACAAATTTTGAGTGGTGATGCAATGCTTTTCAACCCCGCTGAGAATCGTCACTATACTATCACATCGCGTACTAGGCAAGAGCGGTGTCGCGTCTGATGCTGTGTAATGCGATCTGACACACACCTTGAAAACGGGTAGTGTGGTCTGATATACCGGTGAATTCAGGATCATTCGGTACCGAGTCTGGTAGTTGGGTAGGCCTGTTATTTGTCAAAGCCACGTAATGTTTAGGATATTAAGAAATCAAAGGCCAGGGGAGACTGTAGAGCACTCTAGCGTCATTATATTATATTTTGAACGACTTAAACTTTAGAATAAAGTTTTGGTAATTTAGAATTGAGACGTGAAGGAAAAGTGTAATAGCCCTTTTCTCATTGTAGGGTAAATGCCGCGTTATAAAATGTTTAATGCTGGACGAGGATATACGGCGGCGAGACAGCGAGCATGTGGACGTGAAAGAACTGCCCCTTCTTGAGTGGGAAGAGGACATTCCTGCACATAGAAGGAAGGGTGGGTGTTGGAGTTTTTTTAGTGATAAATACGAATTTAAGCCAAGTATGGTTATTGTTCTTGTCCATCCGGCATCATTAAAATGCCCCTCCTTCTCCGCCTCTATCTCTCTTTCTCCCTTTCACACACAAACACACACACACGAGTATTCTTAGGGGAGAGGGTTATCTTATTCAAATTTTTCTTATATGATAATAAATAATACCAACAGTAACCATAGAATAATGGGGAGGGGGAGTTTGGTTAAGTTGTTGTATCAACGATAAATAAACAATGACCCTTGTTGATGAATCCTAAACGCTTCGTTACGACAGTCGTATTCCAAAAGAAGCTAATTTAATCACAGCTGTTTCTAATTCCATGTTGCTATAATTTTTTCCTGTAGCCTCGAATCAGGATCAAGCAGAAACAAAAGAACAGAGATTAGAAAGAGACAAGTCTCGCCTTCTCAACTCCATGGGACTGAAATTTATGAACGAGGAAAAGGTAAGGCCAATTTAGTAAGGTCCCGGATGAATTTGATGGAAAGAATTGTACGATTTTTGAAAAGGTAAACAGACAACGTTAACAACGTGTTTAACTTGCTTTAATAAATAAGAAAAAACTGATAAAAACGAACAATCATCAATTGTTAGATAAATGGAAAGAAAAAAAACGAAAATTTCATGAAATATACACTTGCTTACAAACTTACTGACCGACAGGAGTCCGGCTCAACAGAGGAGCTTTTAAATCCGACAGAGGGTGTTTTACCATTGTTAACGTCTAAGATCATTTCTACGACCGACACCCCAGATTTGTCAACCATTCATCGAGTCAAGAGAAAAATGATGTTTCTGGCCGCTATACTAATATGGAGGCGAGGCTCAGTGAAGGTTCTTCTCGTGAAGGGTGGCATCGTGTTGCACGTTACACGTGTAAAGGCACATCTTAGTTCTCCCTTTGTCACACGGCACGTCAGCACAGATCCTTTATTTATCAGAAATGAGATAGTTAAAACGGTTTAAGACGATCTCCCGGACGCTGACTGCATTTTAACGTCTTGAATGCTGGAACCCTTTTTTCTGTGCACGTGCGCTGGTTGAGCTTAATGCTCAGCTTGTGGCTCACTCGTTGTTTGGTCGAAAACAAGCGGTCTACCTCCTTGAGGTTTTCTTGAAACAGGATAACTTAAGCCGTTCCTTTTTAGCAACAAGTATACACACCTGTGCTAAAAGAATAAAAAAGATAAACCCGTCTTGCACATACATTATTTACCGTAAACTTAAAGTCAACCCATTTCACGTTACCGTTTGTCGGAGATATTCATAGATGTATGTATTTATGTATGAGTGCCTGTTTCTACACGTTTTTTTTTTTTTTTTTTGTATTATTATTATTATTATTATTATTATTATTATTTATTTTTATTGTTGTTGTTGTTGTTATTATTATACATACCAATACCTCACAACAGCATGATAATCGATTTTCATTTGTTGACAGACAACGTTTGATTTTATTGGAAACGCGTGGCCTTACATTTTATTTCATTGTTGAACATTTGGTTGTAAGACACGTGCGAAATAGTGCAATTAAAACATTATATAGTGTAAATTAAGCACCTACATTACCCATTTTCTTTGAAAATTATGCGCAATGAACATTATGCACAATGAACTTATATACCCCTGTACTTGTGTTGCACATAATCGGTTGTAATCAAATGCAAGAAAAATAATGAAGTCGTTATTAATTATAACACTAGATAATACGTTGGATTTCATGCAAATCAAACAAAAAAAATTAATACGTCCATTTACTGGATCGTATTTGCACAAGGGTGCATTATTGAAGTGAAAAACGTGTGTAAAGAGTTGGAAGATAGATAAGTTTATTTGATTCTTTATTTAGTACATTAATGTACAATTACAATTATTTTGTTCTCTCTCCACACGTTGAGACACTAGTAATAATCTGTATGTTTCCCTCTTTAGGACACGGGACCGAAGATAATCGCCCAGGACAACAACGCTATTTTGAAGAAAACCCTGGAGGGAGGGGTCGTCTCCCTGGACACGCTGATTTTACAGAAGAAACGAGAGACGAAGGGAAGAGAGTTTATCTACCTGGAGATTGCCAATTTGAACCCAGAGGAAGTATTCGTAAGTGCACTTAATTTATGAAACTGAGAAATTAATGCAACAATTTGAAGTTTTATTATTATTATTATTATTATTATTATTATTATTATTATTATTATAGGAGTCATACTAGAATGCCTGATGTAGAGACATCAGTTCCTGTTAACATTAAACAGTGATGAGTAAAATGAGATTAGTAAATGGGGTTCGTAAATGGATGTAGAGGCTATAGAAAAAAAAACGTCATGAAATGATATAATCGCACCCTCTGCTCCCCCGTACCATTGCAAGCAGCCCTCCCACACATATAAACAACCATATAGAAAAATTGACATGAAAAAAAAAACTGTCAAATTTTAACTGCAGTTGTAAAATCCTTTCTTTTTCAAGGACCTGTTTACAATCCTCCGTCCTCCCGACCCCAGAGCTAAGAAGCAGTCTTCCCTTCTCCTCGTCAGCTCCGGGGCCAAAATGTTAAGAATCCGCCGAGCAGCTTTCTTCAAGTTGGCCGCAGAAGAGGCAGTGGATTATGCGCTCTCTCTTGCGGCGATTGACAAGTAAGATCGTGATTTGTTATTTAAAATCCATGTCAATTATCTTTTCATATAGCAATAAAAGAAAAGTTTCGATAGTTTAGTTGTAGAAAGAGGCAGCATAATGTAAGATTTAACGTTTTATCGGACCATTCTATAAGAATGAACTGTTTGAACCCCCTGCCATGCCTTTTCTTTATACACAATACACGCAATAAAAATTGAAAAATATGATGCCATTGTTATTGTTTTTAATTAACTGTTTGATTCATGCCCACTGCTTGTGCGTTTTATTTAACCGTTAAAAGATTCCATTTTGCGTTTATTTATTTATTTATTTATTTATTTATGTCCACAGGTACCCTTCAGATATAGAGTTGCTGGAGTCATACACTGACAAGGCTACTTGGGACGGGTACAAACAACAGGTTGTAGACGACGTGGTGAGTCCGTTACGTCAACAGGCACGGCGCAGCTACGTAAACAAATACATGGAGGTCATGAACGACGCCAAGCGGAAACAGAATGTTCGACTACTCTCAACCCTCAGGAGGAAGGAAAGGAAGAGTCGTGGCGGGAATGCGACAACCACGAGTCTGGAGGAATATCAGAGGAGGCGCAGTTCGGTGTATTCTAAAGACAGTCGAATACAAATTGAAGAGGTTGATGAGCAACCAGATATTGTCGAAGAGAGCAGCCCATCTTGATCCCTGGGGTTGTCATAAGGAAAATTATTTCAGTTTTATTTTTCATGGACACCCACCCAGTGACTTAAAGTGTGGCACCTATGTACAGAGGTCATACATCTACGTACTCATAACATTCTACTTTTGTGGATTAAAAGTGATTTTTTTCCATTAGTGACATTACTTTTCATTAATACATCTCAAAAGGAGCCCAGCGTTAGGGGGTTATATATTTTGCTCCACCCTAACCCTAGAATGATAGTAAAATTGGAGAACTACGCAATCCCCCAAATGTCCGTATGGGCCATATTGCTACGCACATGTACTGGACCTCGAGAGACAAAGCCCTCTCAGAGGCAAAAAAAAACTGTGATAAATCGGCAGCAGGAAATATTTTATCTCAACAAATGTGCAAAGACAATCATACCTTAGATTTACAGCTGCAGCATAGCGCAATGTTAATTGTTCTTCTTTGAATAAAATATATTTTATCACATTATTTGTATCGCTTTTGTTAATTTGATTTAAAAAAATAATAATAATAAAGAAAAAAAAACATTGGGTCTTTTATGTTGCCAAGTTTAATAACGATAATTAAATAAGTAGCCGTAAAATCAAAGGATTGTTCAGGAATAATATGCAAAGATCGATTCGAATTGAACACAAGTATAAACCGACACCTTGTAACATTTTATTTAATCATTCCCACGCCTATATTGCATATTTAGCGTATTATTCAATATAATTAATGATCTCTCACTTTTACTGAATTTTTATGTGATAATAAATATGACAAAGTATACCGCATGCAATTACAAATTACTTATAATACCAAGTGGATAAATGAGATCGGTTAGACACAATATTTAAAGGAATACAATGCACGCTAGACCTTTTAATAGAAAGAATAAAGAAGATTTGACAATTTTCCCTAAAGTATATCCATAAACTACCTTATGTAGAAAAAGTGGGCATTTTTTTCTATGAAAATCACATTTGTGCTATATAAAGGACTAACGCCCATTGTGTCCCTTTAACCCTACCCTCCCGTATATATTGTTACCACCACCCACCCAACAATGCCCCTCCCTCCTAGCATGAAGAAAATTATGCTTTTTTATATAAAGTTGTGAGCAGCAAAAGTCACTTAAACCCTACCCACCCGTTCTCTTCCTTCCCCCTTTCCTTTTATGAACGCCCAAAATTGCGACAAAACTTACATTTAATTCAGAATTTATCACAGAGAAGGAATGTTTACAAATGCAAGATATTCTAAAAAAAGATGTCTAGAAGACTCGTAGGACCCAATTCAATTCGCCCACACAGCAGTTTTTGCTTAAAATTGTTGATATGATGTGTCTAACAGAAAGAAAAAAGGCTACTACATGTATCTGTTCAATTTCACTTGGCTCCTGGTCGGCCATGTGGAAACCTGTAAAGATGGTCGATAACATTACATCATTCAAATAATTGAAGTTCTCCTAAAAGAGTTACTGCGCGTCTTAATGCCTCTATTGAATACCCCACGCAGAATAGTCAGAATAGATATTTCAAACACATAATCGCAGAGTCATAGGTACGTAACGGTGCAGTCCAAGTTCACCAAAGTTATCGCATGAGTGTATATTCAAGCAAGGGAAGGAAATTTAACCCATCAAAATTAGCAAACACATACGCCATGTCGAGGTCCTTGCCGGTGAAGACAGCTCCCTCCCAAATCACCCTATTGGTCGACTTCAGGTAATACCACTTGCCTTTGATAATGACGGCCACTTTCTTTGCACCCGGCACTTCGACCTTGAACTTGATGTTCTTGTTCAATTTAAGGTCACCGTAGATTGGTTCGTGGAGTCGGCATTTCATCCAACGGGTGAGGGCCTTAGGCGAGACTTTAGGCGGGCATTCTGGCTGTTTGGGACAGAATATAAGGTAACTGTACAGACAGTCCATGGTTGGGTTCGAGTCCTCCAGCTCTGCGGCGTAGATTGAAAAAGCATAGTAGCCCTGCTCGGGGAAACGTATCACGTAGGATACGGCCATTTTCTCTCGATACTGCTGAAAGGCGAATCGGTCAAAATTGTCGTCATGGTAATCGTAATTCCCACAGAGAAGCTTATGGTTGACCTTGACTGGCTTTTCGAAACCGAGGTCAATTACTAATTCACCACGTGATTCGATGAATGGCTCTTGGTGGCTCTCCAATTCGAGGCCCAGCGCACTTGCAGCCGGAAGTGACCCAACGCCAAGAGGAAGGAGAGGGAATCTGAATTTAGAATCCGGCTCTATGTAATCACAACGGATGCCGAATATACAAATGCTGTTGTAGACCTCGGAAGATGACCTGGAGTCGTTGGCGAAGATCGTCAGCGTGTGATCACCACGTCTGGGGATGTTTACATTAAATATGATCTTATTATCTACAATGTGGTGGATGGCAAAGCGATCCAGGATCTCCCCCTCCGACTGCAGTCTTGTGGTGAAGGAAAGGCGGTCTGGGGTCTCGCAGCCGAGGACGATGTCGACTTTTCCAGTGTCCGTGGAAACCATAGCGCTCTGGTGTGATCTTCAAGAGTTAATATAATAATAATAATAATAATAATAATAATAATAATAATAGAGAGGCAGAGAGATTACGGGATTAAGCGGTCCTTTCTTTCATGTAGGGTCCGCCATATTTGTGCCATGGACCAGTTGACACTCGTATTTTTTTTTCATTCTGTATGGCCCCATAGGGAAGATAAATATTAGATGTACCAGGTTTTTCCCTCAATAAATACTTTTATAAATAAAAAAATAAGTAATTTTATTTATCTATATTTTTATTTTCACTTCTTATTTTTCATTTAAGATTTAAACAATATGAAACAGATATTACAGACTAAACACTATTGGTGCTTTTAAACGAACCTCAGACTGAGCCCATAGTGGAAAAAATGCGACTTGAGCAACGGCATCTGTACGAAATCCTCCATTGTGATGGGCTCCTCCAATAGCTGCCAGTTGGGGTCATCCGGATAGTGCTGATGGATGAAATCTTCCGGATCCGTCAAAAAGTAGAAGTCGTCATACTCGTAGCTGCATTCTTGGGATTTGGCGGCGTCGTCCTCTGCGCCCATCCCAGCGTAGGACCCTCTGGATGGATCACTTCTGCTGGAGCCTTCCCCGCCTCCGCCGCCACCGCCACGGAGACCGCTGTTGATTCTTCTCGCACCCCAGTGGGTGTCCACGAATCGCCACGAGCCGTCCACGTAAACCACGGTCCATTGGTTCCGAAATCGTTCGTCAGCAATCGGCATCCCTGGCTTGTAGCCGAAACTTTTGGAGTAGCCTTGGATGACGTGACAGTGAAGACCGGCGTAACTGGAGGAGAGAAGGTAGGCTGGTATCATTTATTTTGGGGAATAGACCTCACAACTTTATTGCCATTAAAATAAGAATAAGATGATTAAGAAAACGTATGTCTGAAATTACCATTTGTTTCATTGTGCACTGAAAAATTACTGTACAACCCTGTAGCAATATTGACTTCAAATGTCATAGCATTACGTAGACACTGATAGCAAACTCAAACACACGGAAGAACTATCAACCGCCAGTAATCAACACTAGATACATAAAGTGTACCTGCACAGTCTCTTGAACAAGTCGTGATAGCTCTCCAGTCCGTATTTTATTCCCCGCAATAAGAAAAACGGGCTGCTGGGATCAATGTTGCCAAAAAACAACATCTTGTTTAAGTCTTTGACGGTGATCCAGCGAAATATGGCACTAAAAGATGAAAAAGAGCCTTATAGATTTAACATTAAAGGACATATCAATGGAAAATTGTTTTTGCTTATCAACAAGGATTATTGTAAGCGCAAATAAAGCACCGATTTTACTCAAATAATTTTACAAGATAATCAGGTCAAAAGCAAAAGACAATTTCGTCAATGATTTAAATTACAGATTCTGTCACTACGTTCAAATCACCAATGTACTCAATCGGTAGGGCGGATTGTGACGCGCTCCTCAATAGAAGCCCAGGTGACATGGTCAAACCTGCCTGGATACACTATTGTATTGTTTTACAGGAAATTTAATTCAAATTCAAGATAAGCTTGAGTACCCGCTTTGCCTGCGGATTCTTACGTTAAAAAACAAGTGAAACATAATTCAAATACTTACCAGTGATTCAATATAATCAGTACTTACCGTGCTTTTTCTACCTCATTTTTGCAGCTCCGCACTAGCCAGAAGACTAACTCGGTGAAGCTGTTTTGATCCCAGCTGGCAACCTAAAATGCAACGAGATTTTAAAAAGAAGAATTGCCTGTCGCACCTGGCATACTAGTGACCTGCAGTCTTTTTGTCACATCTAACACATTACATATACTCATCCGTCCGTCACGTCAAACGCAATATATATACTCGCTTGTCTAACATAGGTATTAGATGTCATGCGAACAACAGACAGTGGAAAACAAAAAGATGTGTTAAAAGTTTTAAAATACCTAAAACACACTATCATACGTACAATTGTATGTAACAGTGCACATTTGTTTGACAAAGGAACAAAAAAACCTAGGATAGGCTCTCAGAAGTGGGCCTGTTTCATATAGGGACAGTCTGTATTTTACCTCAATAGCCTGATGATCCACGTTCTCGAAGGAAGCTGAATTTGCGATCAACTCCGCCTTCTTTGTGGTCGGTGGTCGGGGTGGTGGTACCATAGATTTGTGCTAGATATAATGTAATGTAATAAATAGATAAATAAATAGACATGACGTAATACTTTTAAAAATATTGACTGCCTATAGGTACATGTACTAGTGTTTTACTAGTGTTGAAGCTTTCATTAAGCCATCAGCTACAATAACTGCGTGATGTCATAGGATAAATGTATTTAGTAATAAAAAAGAAAGGGACAAAACCCGGTGAATCAGTACTGCTATGCAAAATACTTTTTTCTACAAAACTTGAAAAGAAAACAGCCACAATGATGCTCGTGGATTACTTCTTTCATCTTTTATTTGTTGCCGCAAATTCCCAGTTCCAGGAAATCCCTCTTGATTTCTTTTTGATGCCCTATTGATAATTCGAGAGGTATTGAACTATCGCTGATAATTCCAATTAATTACTGGACTTGCATTGTTTAATTTTAAAATTCGAAAAAAAAAAAAGATTGTACGTCTTAAGCCTGTTGTAACCCCTGACTACATCACGCCATTTGGTATCACCTACCTTTTTAGAAATGAGCTGCAGCATTTCACTGCTCTGTTTATCTATCATTCCGGACAGACGGTCTCGTTCCTGCGCAGACAGATCACTGAGCAGATCCTGCAGACGATCTTGCTTCAGCGTTTTGAAGTGCTCTTCAATTTGGTACTTCTCCTTGTTGAAGTCGCCGGTGAAGTAGCCTAGATGATTAAACAAACAAACGAACAAATAAATAAACAAATAAATAAATAAATACCACGTAAGGATATCAGGTAATTTGTATGTCTTAAAAAAACACCAATCTAATTCGTCGCACATTTTGTATATTCGGTAAGGCAAATATTTAGTTCCAGAATATGGATGAAGTACCGTTTTCCACTTCATAGCTGGTACCCATAGTATGAATCCAGTTATCATTTTAAGTTCTCATCTTCAATGGCATTAAGGTCTACCTGAGAATTGGTTTAAGGAAAAACGTAAATACTGCAGCAAGTACACATACCTCGATCCATTTCCTTCAACAAATTCTTCACAGCATGCTCCAAGTCTCCCCGGATCTCGCGCTCGAGTCGTTTTATCTCGGACTCCCTCCGGTTTTCAAAATCCTTGAATATTTTATTCTCTTCTTCCCTCTGCTTCAGCTCCAGCTCGTTTTGGGCAATGAATATCTTGTCCTTTTTGGCCTCTTCAGGGATGGCATGGGCGCCGGTGGAAGAGGTGCTGGGTCTAGTGCGAAGTGTTCCGTCAGGAGAAGAGATGGTCGCCTGCTGGGCCAGCATTTCAGCCAGGAATGGAGGCTAGAGTACATGTAGGTATACGTTGTGAATGTGTATAATAAACAGTGGCAGATGGAATATGATTTATCAAATATGATTTATCAAATATTTTATATATATGAACCTTTGGCCAGAGGAATGTTGGGAAATACTTCTTGGGAAAGTGAAAATCAATCCAAAAATCAATAATATCGACCATCAACATCCTTAATTAAGAAACAGCATAAATAGATTTCCAAACCCTACGGTCTTCCATGACAATGGCAAGCTCAGTTAAGCATTATGCAAAGTGAAATTACTCTATGTCATTATAAGAATATTTTTTCACCTGACTGGCGTCCAAGGGGTCATACTGGCTAAGATCCGCACCGGATCCTCTCCGTCCATACGGCTTGGCGTAGTGCCGTTCAGAGTTATTCACCAAGGCCTGGAAGAGAACCCTCTTCTTGTTTATTGAAGTGAAACAACATCAGTAATTAAACCATGGAAAGATAATTTTCATTATGATTTCGGTTCCAGGTGAGTAAAGGCGTGCCGTCTTCATGCCCCCCCCCCAAAAAAAAAAATAAATAAAGGGCATTTTAAAGTACAACCATAGTATAGTATTAACTTGTGTTAGATGTTCGCCAATGGGCTGGCGTCATTTGTGGAACGTTTTCATCCGATTTCATCAGTATTGATCAACTTAATGGAATTGATATAAATTCTAATCTATTTAATTATTTTTCAATTGGTTTAATTCGTAAACTCAATCTCAATTTTATAAATCTTTATCGATTTTGTACCTCTTGATCCCCACCCGGTTGCATCCTGTCAAAATCCGGCCCATACAACTCCTGCATAAACATTCTGAACTTAGCCCTGTCTCTTGCGGTTAGGGTCTGGATCATGTGCATCATCTTGTCGTCAAGGTTCTTCCGGTTGTCTGCGCCTGCGCGGATGCGTAGAGTCTCGTAGTGACAGTCGTCGTCGATGAATGCACTTCGGTTGCCTGGATACCAAATGAATAAACCATGCATCAGTTAAGAGTGTTTTAGTTACTTTCAATTTGCATAGAACTGTTTGTCATAAATTATGTATTTTTTATTAGGGACACATTCCTCCCGATGACTATGTGCATAAAAAAGTAATATGGAATTAAAGCAAAAAACAAATAACAAATGACTTCTTTCAACAAAATGAAGATTCATACCAAATAAAGATCTTTAAGAAATAAATAAGCTATGTTTATGATGCATCTATTAAGATCTACTAAAAGGTGCAATATCTTATCGAAGCTTTCGACCCTTAGGCCTTCATCAGATGTTCGAAAAAAAATCTTCATAGATGCATCATTGTGATAACTTATTAATTTCAATGAAACGATGAGACTTATTCTTTTTTGTAGAGGAGTTTAGAAAAACATGTTTCACATGCACAGATGCACCAGCGTCTGAATGTCAACAGGATAACCTTGGAAGAATAATTTGTCAACTGATATATTCCGTGACATATGTTCGAGCCTCCAGATGGTACGAGGAAGTAACATGGTCTGAAATGCAGGCAAATCAAAACTGCATTCACATTTTAAAAATTCTAATTTCTTGACAACAAGTAGATAAAAACATATGATGCAGGATGTTTTAACGGAAGAGTTTGGTTTGAAAGCTGCCGAGTAATACATTGCAGAAATATGTTGCGTTTGTCTTGTATTGCACGTTACTATGTTCGGATTGTAATTGATAAATATGGCTTCAAAATAAAATAAATACATAAATGCATAAATAAAGATGCACTAAAACCTTGGTCGCCGTATCCCTGCCCATTGGACGGCACGTAATCGTAGTCACCAAGAGAATCCCCGGCTTCTCTCGATACGGGATAAGGGGATTTCCCGGCAAAATGATCCTCAAGGCAGGAAGCAATGGTTTTAACCGAGTCACGGTCAATCTCTCCGTTGAGAAGTTTGTCTGTAAGTTCATTGTATGTTTCTGTGTCCTGAAAATATCGATGAAGATAAGGGAGCGCAGTATTAAGTAAACAACTAAAGACTATAAAGTGAGACAATTTACTCATCAGGTAATCCATGTGTTAATTAAAGAAGTTTGAGCGGGTGTTGAAATGACGAACACTTCCCATTCTGAAAACCTTTATCGCGCGAAATATGTAGAAAATAACCTCATTGCATGCTTAAATACCAAAAACTCAAAACTTGTCACTTCGGCCCTTACTTGTTGGTCCAAGGGTACTTCCGGTTGCGGAGGCTTTTTCTTCCGGTTCCGGTCATTTAGGTATTTAGCGTGTGAGAATTCCAGGGCGTAAGGGTCGTACTCCCAATCTGTTGTATCTTGGATGCGAATCTAAGAAAGTGAAATTATCCACAGACCAAGTCTCAATACATACATGTACCGTACGTGTGATGATTATGCGCATGAATACTGTGAGACACGCATGTACTAGAATGTGATTCTGGCGAAAAAAATAATTGGAAACAGTCTTATTGAAAAAATTAAAATACTTTGTCTGTGGGATCAAGAAACTGACACAAGATTTTACCTCAAGAGCTTTTGAGAACGACCTAAAAAAGAGGCCGAATCACTGAAGCAGGGTGCTAGCTTACTCACGTGATTGTTAAACCCCCGATAACTACTGATTTGCTGTGCGTTCATTGCATTCCGTATGCCAATGGATTCGTTGTCCATTCCATGTTTTACCACTTTTGGAGCATGCGTCTTGCAGAACACTTCCTTTTTCCCTCTTTCTCCATGACTTGACACGGCAGCAGTTGACAGGGTCAATACCACACCGCATTCTATACACCGGAAACAGCCCTTGAGGTGATTACAAAAAGTAAATGATTTTCCTATAGAAGATTTATTGAACAAATGGACAGACAGAGAATATACAGCAGTAGTTGTCTTAAAATCGTTGGATATTTCGTTGTGGTTGTCAAAACTATCGCTAACCCATAATTGAAATGACATAATTGACGCAATAAAGATAAAAGAAAATGACGTAAAATCGTTATGCATTTTTATGAAGGGAAAACCGAAATAAAGATATTTTAGTTTTGCCACGACAATCGAGTCGGGCTATATTATTTGAAGAGAGAGAGAGAGAGAGAGAGAGAGAGAGAGAGAGAGAGAGAGCTGGGTTGTTTGATATGTCGTCTGTATGCTTACTTTATGATAAATGAGCCTATCCACTGTTATTCTTTCCGCTTGGTACACTGCACGGCGACAACGGTGGCATTTGTCACTTCTCACTGCCTTTTTAAACATATCATAGGAGTCAGAGCTACTTCCCCTTACGGCCCTCCGATCATCTTCGGATAACATCGGAGAGTTTCGGCCACTTATCCCGAATTCCATCCGGTCCAACAGTCACACTTGTTTCTAATAACAAGACATACAAATGTATATTTTCAGGAAACCTTGGACCTTCTTGACGCTATAGAATATTTGAAATATCTCTTTTAGAATTGAAAATCAAAGCAAAATTAAAACAAAATCAGATGTCCATTTTCGGCCTACAGACGAATAATGATTGCGAAAGGCATTTATACACACCTTCAAAACTGAAAAAGAGCCTTTTCCAGTGACCGGCACGTCTCCCAGTCGCACAGTTTCAGCCCTAATTCTTCACTGATCTGCCAGCGTTATGATCACAGCATAGTACGACTATAGTCAGGTAGAGACTGCAGTCATTATCACCTCCACCACCGCCCTGTGTTTACGTCATAAGTCGCATCTGGTGGCAGACGACAGCTGCTCCTCAGGTGGTCACATGGTTCCGGTTGTTTTCTAAAGGTCGCGATATATATATATATATATATATATATATATATATATATATATATATATATATATATGCAGACGTCAGATTGTACCTAGGGCGCTCCAGTTGCAAAGTTGTGGTTGACTGACTTTCTCTCTCTCTCTCTCTCTCTCTCTCACACACACAAACACACACAAGCACGCACGCACGCACGCGTACAATTAATGCAGTTGCATTAGAGCTATTATAGATTAATCTCAGTTCCGCGATTGATTTGAAAACGATGTGATCCTTCAATATAAACATTCAATATGCATAAATGAACTAATGGAATGTACAGGTATGAGAGAAATGTGCATGCAAAGGGTATAGTTATAGGTTGTTAAAAATATAAGGAGATTGACAGTTTGTACTTCATGCTTAAATTTATTCTTCATGCTTAATGTACTTCATGCTTATCTTTAACAGATGCTGGAAACAGCACGAAAAAATCCGCAGATATAATTGGAAATTATAAATAAGCAAAGAAGAGTAAACTTTAAATTTAAAACCTAAAAATCTTAATGGCATCAGTGAGAAGAGACGACTAGTACATTGTCTGATAAGAACAATGTTAACGAACCTTTGTAAATCGCTCGCTTTGTGACGTCACAGAGACTACTTCCTGTCTTAGATAACACAACCCAATCCATCTGTATGTGATCAACAGGTTTCACGTGTTAGCAGAACAACCACGTCGTTGCGATGCAAGCTGTGTTATTTTCAAAAAAAAAAAAAAAACATCTTTTGTCCATTTTTCTTGACAGGGCGTATTGAAACAGATGACGAATGAATGATATTCCTAAAATGTCTTGGATGTAAAGAAGTACTAGGCGCAAGACATAAAATGCTTTGTCGAAACGTTTAAGTCTGTTTGGTATCAAAGACTTCTTTGAGTTGAGTTACTTATTATTTTATTGAATAATAATAATAATAATAATAATAATAATAATAATAATAATAATAATAAAGGAAAAAATAAATAAAGCAAGACTGTCTTAGTCAATCGTTAAATATTTGCCTATTATGTTTATTCTTGCTCCTCTTACTCACCTGTTTAAATAAATACTTTAGGCAAATCTGGGATCCGCCAGAGTCATGAAAATACCAACATGTGACTGGAATGTATCGAGTGTTTGATATAGTAATGACAAGCGTCCTATAGTAATGACATGACTTTGATCAGAGGTTGGCCATCTTGAAATTAGTCCCCTACCTGCTACCCCACAAAAAAACCCTCGCTCATCGTAGATATTTTTTATTACATGAACAGGATTTTTTCCTGCCACAAAAGACATTACAAATATATATGACCTTTCTCGGCGTCTTCACAGTTCTAAATTTACACATAATACTTGAATTGCATACAGGTTTATTCACTGTGCCACATGCACGTGGTCGCAGCTGGTCTGGGCGTGCGACCGGTTGTAAAACAATTACATATGTTCTGATGTTGGTCTCTCACCTTAAGAAAAATGTCTACCCCAATAATGCGTTTCTCATATTTGAACACGGATAGTTCTTGCACTAATGGATCCAGTATTTTGCTATTGGGGGGAGGGACACCAGGATAACAATATTGCAATGCAAGCGAGAGAAAAAACAAAAGCATGAAACGAGTTTTTTCATGATATTTAAGGGACAAGGAGGTAAAAATGATTGATTTTGTCTCATTCCAGTGTGTGTGTGTGTGTGTGTGTGTGTGTGTCTGTGTGTGTGTGAGAGAGAGAGAGAGAGAGAGAGAGAGAGAGAGAGAGAGAAAGAAAGAAAAGTGGGTACTTCAGACGTTAAAGGCTTCTTCACACCTAGTGAATGATTTGCGAGCATGTAATCACCCTGTTTCCAGCGTAATAAAATGAATATGTTTTTGAAGATGCTCAAAACATTTTATTTCATTCTGGGTATAGGAACATACACCAACGTACGTGACGTGAGTCAAACTTAGCCCTTCTGTTTGTCTGCGTAAGGGGGATTTTTCTCATAACTCAGTGCTATACACTATTTGCGACAGCTGGACCCGCCGACGTGTTACACTTGAACACAATTTTAAAACATACCAGATTGCACTTTAAAGTTTAACTCAACTAAGATAAGAATCTACACTTAAACCAAAAGCAATATAATCGAATAAATTCGAAATGCCAGAAGTGATGCTTGTTTTCCGTGATTGCGCCACCAACAAACACGATTGTTGAATAAGGCATAATGCTAACATGTTCATCAAGAAATGCAAGTGTAATACATGTATAATTAAAAGGCAAGGCAGCTGATAAAACTTCATCAATGCCTATGGAAAAAATAATTTTTAAAAATCCTTAATATTTACAAAACTGGCCTATGAAAAATATTGTTATGAACATACAATGCATAATCATTTATAAATTATAACAAAAAAATAACTACATTTTCCATAAGCTAACCCAGATAAATACTGTATTTTGTATTAAAACAACAAAGGAAACTATCATAGATTTCTTATGGAGACTAAAGCATAACAAACAAATAACCCTCTCAGTGGGTTTAAAAACGTCAATAAATAATCCATCATACCATAGATATATTTTTAAGCAACAGGCTTGTATCGTTTAAGTAATAAAAGTGCTTTTTCAACGGCGTGTTCCGTGGAAAGCGCCAAATGCGAGCTCCGAATACTCCTTTCCCACGTGTGGTAATAGTTCGCCTGTTTGTTTGTCAAGCTGTTCACAACAACATTCGGTTTCCCTAGCAACGTGCTAATTAGATGTGCATGCAGACGATCCGTCACGACGACATGCGCACGCGCAATAAAGAGAACACCAGACATGGCTTTGAGTTGATGATCTTCGAAAAAATCGTCTGCATTTTCATTCATCCATTCTGCCTTCCAGTCAGTTATCAAGTATTTTATACCGGGTGGGAATTTTGGTCGATTTACTCTTGTGAACCCTGGACTCTCCCAGTCGTCACGTTTGATCCATATGACGTCATAACTGGGGATGACGTTCACCTGTAACGGTCCCGCAGCAAATGCAGAGTCCGGGACAAGCAGAAGCTTATTTTTCAAAAAGAAATGTGTCGCCATATCAAAAGACGGTTTGTCTCGTAGCATAACAATGAAATCCTTATGATTCCCGTAAATTTGAGCAAATTCGGTTATGTTTTGACAGCCAGGTGTGGGGTGACACACGCTGGTTGGAAATTGCACAATACGATTACTGGGGAAAGCATCAGCCGTTTTCTTCAGCACATACAAGTGTGCAGGGTGGCCAATATATCCCGCGCCTTGGACCATCACGACCAAATCTTTCGACCTCTTAATCTGAGAAAAATCGCAGTACGTCCCCGGATAGTAACAATGGTACACAATAGATATGTTCAAACCCTGTAGAATAAGTCTCTGGCCGATTGTAATGAACTGGTCGCCTTTGTTAGGCCACTGAAAAACGTTCACCAAAACGGCCCTCCGGTACCCCGCAAGAACGCGAGAAAACAAAGTCGTCTGGATGCGCTGTGCCTCCTCAATTACTTCCTCAGTCGTAGTCAATAACTGAGATAAATGGAACGCATTGGAAGAATCTGCATAGAGGTCTGCATTGACGAAACTTCGGTCTTTGGGACTGAGGTCAGTTCTGGTAAAAGGTCGCATGCGACTGAAGGGAAACTTGAAGACACTGGTTGTGTTAGGTGAGACGGCGGTCGCAATCTCAACCGAGCTTCCTGGCAAAGATGTGCCCCAATGGTAACCCGCCATGGCCAGGACAATGGAAGACATGATCACCGTCAGCCATAGGGACTGTTGTTCGGAGCAGTTCTCTGGAAGATACAAAAATAAAGAACGATTTTTTTTTGGTACGATAGAAGTATGTGCTTTTTTAAAATAGGCACACAATGATCATGCTTTATACAAACATGCTGACAGTAACAGCCCACTTCTAGTGCTATTTTAATTTGTCTGTCATTATAATTTCGATATTTATCATTACATTTTTGTTATTGATGACATGAAATACAAAATACATAATAAAAATCATACAGTGCAATACTTCTAAGCGAACAATAATCATATAATTATAATTGATTCGTTCAAAGGTTTAACTGATGTTTTCAAGGTAGATAATGAATGTATTTTTAACAAATAAAAAATAGCAGCAAAAATTTGTTTAGATAGCATACCTTTGTGATCGACCGTATCATTACATAATATACTGACTAATAACAATTAAATACACGCACTGGGAGTTACACATTTTAATAACAGAAGAACATAATGTTCTTGATAATCTACACACTTTTTCTTTAATCGCCCATGTGCAGCATTCGAAAACTGTTGACAGAATCAAGATCCATAGACTCGTTTCTCGGTCCCAAGTCTCTCCGTTTGGGCACACTAGTGACAAAGGTGGAGACTTGCGAATTTCACTCGCAATGGTAAAAACGAAAACCCAAAATG